ATTCTCCTCGTGGGTGGAGGGATTCCCTTGTAGAAAAGCTACCGCATCCGTTGTTGCCAGGGCCCTCCTACAGGACATTATTCCCCGCTATGGCATACCCCGCCGCCTAGACAGCGATAGGGGAACCCACTTTACTGCAGAAGTAGTGCAATTAGTGGCCAAGGCACTCCAAATTAGATGGGACCTCCACACTCCATACCACCCACAATCCTCGGGCCAAGTAGAGCGTATGAACCAGGAAATAAAAATACAGTTGGGCAAACTTTGCGAGCTCACTGGCCTAAAATGGGTGAATGCACTCCCACTGGTTCTTCATAACATCCGCAGCGCCCCAACCGGACGTTTGAAACTCTCTCCATTCGAACTTTTATTCGGGAGACCTCCTCCCGTCTACAACACTCTATTCCCACTATCAGAACTGGAGCTGGGGGAAGCAGAACTTACTAATTATGTTATTCAGCTCCAGACACAACTACAGCGTCTCCACCACTACGCGGCCATCGAGGGACAGAACCTGCCCATCGACGTCCACGCTCACTCCTTCCACCCTGGTGACTGGATCCTCGTCAAGGTCTACCAGAAGGAACCACTCCAACCCGCGTGGGAAGGTCCCTACCAAGTACTCTTGACATCACCAACCGCCGTGAAGATAGGTGAGAAGAATTCTTGGTTACATCACACTAGGTGCAAGTCCTCACCCCCTCCACAGGAGACCGAAGAAAGCAACGGCGAGGACTTCACCTTTTCGACTCCACCCGCTCCACCGACCTCATATATTGACGACAACGACCGACAGACCGGACTGGATCGGGGCCAAATTCGGGCCCAACAGACTGGACCAGTAGATCGGGGCCAAGGTCGGGCTCAACAGACCGGACCAGCAGATCGGGGCCAAGGTCGGGCTCAACAGACCGGACCAGCAGATCGGGGCCAAGGTCGGGCTCAACAGACCGGACCTGCAGATCGGGGCCACAGTCGGGCTCGACAGACCGGACCGGACGCCACGACAACCAACTGGACATCCGAGATCGTCCCCGATCCCAATACCATCCGACTACGCTTGAGACGCACTGACAGCGCGCTTTGACAGCTCCGCACGCTTTGACAGCTTCGTTGACAGCTCCACTGACAGCGCGCTTTGACAGCTCCGTGCGCCTTGACAACTTCGTTGACAGCTCCACTGACAGCGCGCTTTGACAGCTCCGCGCGCTTTGACCGCTTCGTTGACAGCTCCACTAACGGCGCTTGGACAGCTTCTTTGACAGTACCTCTAACAGCACATTCCCACGGCCTTCCGACCTCCTTATTCTCCAATGCCTGGCCATTCCCGGACTCTAACCATGAACTTCTTCCTTTTCCTTATCTGCCAGACTTTGACCTACTACTCAGCCATGCCAACTGATCATTGTACTGGCTTACCCACGGATTACCATTTCCTGGACTATCACCGACTCGAGACGGGTGGGAAGTCAAACCCTGATCGAATGGGGGACTTTGACTTTTGCCTCCCCGAATCTCGGACATTGCTACGACATTCCCTCGTACCCCGGCTAACTGACGACGAGTATTGGGAACTCTTCATCCGAGACCAAACCCTACACCGAATTGGGTCAGCCGCAGTCACCCTCGACCATTCTTACTACCGTCTCACCTGCAAGAACGGGACCCATTTCCTTTTCGGCAACGGGGAACTCTTGAGGAACCCAAATTGGACCGAAATCGAGAAAGGGGGGGCTGCACCATCCTACACCGACGCAACCAATCCCTCCGACAATTTGATTTTCGGATTCCAATGTCTCCTCATGACCCCAGAACCCCGAAAACCCCAGCTACAAGGACTTTGCGTAAGGAAGTTCTGCTGCCTTTGGAACCTCGGAGTTACCCACGACTGGAGAGGGGCAGAATATTTAGAGGGTTGGTACCATCCAGCACATCCCTCACGCTCCCCCACGTGGGATAACGTTGGACCTTTGCGATGTGGGGGCATAGCCAAAGACAGACGCCTCCTAAATACCACCGACCCCCTTCATCCACTCGGCACAGCACCACGAAAACTCGGCGCGGACCCGTCCATCCCAGGAGAGGATCTCCTTTCCTCCTGGGAACAGAACTCTTATATTAAACTCATCGGCCAGGTAGCCAAGGAGGCACCCTACCCTGAATGCTGGATCTGCGCCCACGCGCCCAGCCACCTTCAACAGAGCCTTCCCCTCGTTCCAGTCCCGGTTACCATAGAACAATTCCGGTCAGGGGACGTCGCCTCCTGGAACCTGACCGCGTTGAACTTGACCCACCAATACCTTTACCTCACTGGCCCGACTAAGGGTCCACTCTGCCGCACCTTCGCCGGGGAAGGGACCTTCATCGGCTCCAGTACCTGTACGTCCAACTTAGAACTCTTATCCACCGGCCATGTCACCATTACGGACGTGACCGGATCCCGGACCTTCCCAAACATCACCCTTGCTTGGGCCGCTGTCATCGGCCACCCTCCAAACTGGCAGCCTCAACCCGCCGACGCTATGCTACTGCAAGCCTTCGCCTCAGGAAGAATGGAGTCGTATCTCAGCGGCTTGTTTTGGGTATGCGGTCATCGCGCGTATACCTGGGTGAGCCCCCATATGTCCGGATCCTGCTTTGTCGGGTACATCGTTCCCGGCATAAGAGTAGTGCCACATCTACCCCCTGGAAGACAGAGAAATAAAAGGGAAGAAAAACAACTGTCCGACTTATCCGACGTCGCTGCAAACGGAGAAACTGTGGGTCGAGCACTCTTTCCTGCCTACGGAGCAGGATCCAACCACGTCGACATCCTTCGGCTTACTGACATCCTCCTCAAATTCATGCAGGAGGCAACTGAAATCACGGACTCCCTCATGTCAGAACTGTCTGAGGTGAGACAGCTAAGTTTACAGACGAGGATCGCTACGGACTTTCTGCTGTCTAGCCAAGGAGGAACGTGCGCCTTAATAGGTACCGAGTGCTGCACATATGTAACGGACCAGACTTTAAACATTACTGGACACTTGAATAACATCCACGAACTAGCAGGGAGACTGAACGAGATACAACACAAGGGACTGTCTGACGTCGACTTGTGGGGATGGCTGCCCAAGCTGGGGTGGCTCCGACAATTGATCAAGGTCATATTGCTCACAATTCTTACTGTTGCCTTTTGCATCTCAGTTCTCTGTTGTGCCATACATTGTGTCTCTCCTTGCTGCTCCCTTCTCCGCTTCCCTGCTCAATCCGCTCCTCTTTCCTTTCGAGCCTATTCCCGCTCCCACAACGCTCCCGTCTTTCCTGAATATGTGCAAATGAGACATCTGGGAGAAGGGGAGTATGAAATCACAGGGGTATAGGGTGCGGAGAAAGGATTTGCAAGTTCCTACAGAACTTTGATGCAAATCTATCTCCGAATGGGGGACTGATACGGAAGGAGAGGGGGGGGGGCAACCATCTTCCCCTCCATCGCTTCCCGAATGGGCCCGAGGCGATGACCTCGACAGTGCCCAACTCGGCCCAGAACCCTCATCCCCCACACCGTTGCACAAGCACCACACTATACCCCTGCCTTGATAATAAAAGGCTCCTTTTCCTGTCTCTATACGGGCGAAATAAGCCCAGATCTCTCCTATGCCTTCCTCTCGCTCTATCCTTAACGTGAGTAGACCGCATCATAATGGAACCCCCATTCGCTATACTGAGCCCCGCTTTAGCCAATCACAGCCATGCATTCGCCCTGCAGAAGCTAGCTCAGGGAGCTACTGCACGCCTCATTTCACTCCTGACAAGCTGCTGACGGCCCCCCCACTGTGAGAACAATGGATCCGAAACCAGAGACCTCGTAAAACTGTCAAAATCCTGTTACAATGTATCCATTCTTGCTACAATATTTCCGTTCTGTTTCCGATCGTGGCCAACGATACTGAATGGGTCGGAAAGCATAGAAATCTTTGGAAATTGATATAAAATCAACCGTAACTCCCATTTCTTTGCTTCTGGTGTCATTCTACTCAGTTCCCTTTCGACTCCATTATGTGACCCCTACCTCCATAATCCCCGAAACGGCGGGTCACGTACACAGGAACTTTCTAATCCTGTCAGATCGTTTCGCCTGACCCTTCCTCCGGGCAATATTAGGTGGCAGACGATGCATATCTCTGGCCCTTTGTCTTGCCACCACCGGTACTTCATAAATGTTTATCTATGTATATCACTCGCTCTGCATATTTCCCCCTCCCTTATCCCAAATGTTAATTAGTGTAACCCCACCTTTCCTTGAGATATTCATGACGTATGTAATATATTCATGATGCAATCCATGAAACCCAACCTTCCCATAATATATTCATGACGTTTCTTGCACTGTATTCTGGGACCTGGAGGGAACTTTTAAAAGTTTATGTCGCCCCAGTCTCGGGGTTCAATTCCACTTTGAACCTGTTGCGCAATAAACTTGGATCTTCGCATTTTGCTCCTGCGTCCGGCTGAGCTTCCTTTTCTTCCGCTAGAATCCACGGACTCGGTCCGATCGGCTGGGTGGCAGGGTAAATACGCACCCAGGTTTTCCGTAACAGAGCTATGTACAGCAGAGGCATTGGCTGGCTTCATGGTTTCCCCCAAATTGTGATTTTTGCATAGGACGCAAACACAAATCATGATTCGCAACATATTGCCAGGTCCAAAATTATGAAACCAATATTACAATATGCACTTCAGAATGGTTTGGGAGGATATATTGAGATATCTCCCAGCCCTTGAAGCTTAGTGGCCGAGTTCTTGCTCTGCATGCAAAAATCCCCTAGCAGCATCTCTAGCTAGGAGTGGGAACCTTCCTTGCCTGAAATCCTGGGCAGCCGCTGGAAACCAGTACAGACAGCACTGTGCTTGGATGAACCAGGAGACTAAACCAGTAGAGGGCAGCCATTTAGCCCATACTTCTTCTGGCCCATCTTGTCCTTTAGGCCCCATCGGGGCAGGGTGTGGGTCTGTCTTACCTGAAGGTCCAGAGCTCTGGAAGAGAAGGCGGGCATGCGGGAGACCAAAATGGGGCACCAGAAGGGGGCTTTGCACTTCTTGTCCTCTTCCGGGCACAGCCAGCCAGGCTGGTTTTCCTCGCCTGCAAGAGAAGAGAAGTAATCTGAGTCACACATCCTTCTGGGCTCAGGAGAAACAGCCATCAGCGTAGGAGACAATAGAGGGGGTTGAAATGGATGAGTCTTGGTGTCGCTCCCAACTCATCAATCCTACAGTTTGGGAACAAACAGAGGGGATGGTGCAGAGATGTAGGGAGACAGGAAGCTGCCTTATTATCGAGTCAGAACAGCGCTCCATCTAGCCGAGTGCTGTCTTACACTGGCTGGCAGCAGCTCTCCAGGATTTCAGCCAGCAAGCATCTCCCATCCCCACCTGGGATTGAACCTCAGTTTTTCCTTAAAAAAAATAAACCAGGTATATCATGATGTTTAGCTGGTGATATATCACGATGTTGAAAACCAGCTATCACCCAGCCCAGTGTTCACCTCTACATGGTTCCATCCTTATTTCAGACATATACCATGATATATTGATATATCACGATATATTGGTATATCGCGATGTTTGGCTGGTGATGTATCATGAAGTTGAAAAACAGCTCCATCCTTATTCCACAAAGATATATCTCTATGTTGAAAAACAAATATCGCCCAGCCCTAGTATTCGCCTCTACATAGTTCCATCCTTTTTTCAGACACAGCAATATTTTGGTACATTGCGATGTTTAGCTGGTGATATATCGCAATGTTGAAAACCAGGTATCGCCCGGCCCTAGCTGGCAGGGACAGTGGGCTCACAAAAGGTGGGCAGATTTTATGTACACAATCACGGTTTCGAACAGGGCGCTGAAAAATAAATACATTTTGTTTAAGGGTGTGAGAGAGCCTATAGGGCTCTGGAGCAGGGGTCAGCAAACTTTTTCAGCAGGGGGCTGGTCCACTGTCCTTCAGACCTTGTGGGGGACTGGACTATATTTTGGGGGGGAAATGAACAAATTCCTATGCCTCACAAATAACCCAGAGATGCATTTTAAATAAAAGCACACATTTTTCTGATGTAAAAACACTAGGCAGGTCCCACAAATAACCCAGAGATGCATTTGAAATACAGTGGTACCTCAGGTTAAGTACTTAATTCATTCCAGAGGTCCATTCTTAACCTGAAACTGTTCTTAACCTGAAGCACCACTTTAGCTAATGGGGCCTCCCGCTCCTGCTGTGCTGCCGGAGCACGATTTCTGTTCTCATCCTGAAGCAAAGTTCTTAACCCGAGGTAATTTTTCTAGGTTAGCGGAGTCTATAACCTGAAGCATATGCAACCTGAAGCGTATGTAACCCGAGGTACCACTGTAAAAGGACACATTCTACTCATGTAAAAACACGCTGATTCCCAGACCGTGTGCAGGCCGGATTTAGAAGGCAATTGGGCCGGATCCGGCCTACCCATGCTCTGGAGACTTGCAGGAGTTTCCCAGGACCATTCTGTAACCCACACAAGAGCATCCCAGAGGCCGGCAAGCAAGACAGAGGGCAAGCTCTACTCATTGTGCCAACGTTGGACAGCGAGGGATTGTCGCGCAGGTGGAACCAGGGGCCATTCTGAGCAGTTCTCAACCTGTGGGTCCCCAGATGTTGTTGGACTACAACTCCCATCATCCCTGAGCTCTGGCCTTGCTAGCTAGGGGTGATGGGAGTTGTAGTCCAACCACACCTGGGGACCCACAGGTGGTTTTGTCTCTCCGCAGGATCCCCCAGAATGTCCTACTTTACAACAAATCTGTACCCCAAAGCACAATGTTGGGGTTTGGGGGGGCAGGGAGGACAGATGCCATATTAAAGGCCTGAAGTCTCCTTGTGGGGACACCTTTGTTTGCACACTGAAAAACTGCAGAGGTCCTTCCCCCTGCTACTTTCTCCCTTCAAGAGGTTTTAAAGCAGAGGTTGGAAGGCCATCTGTCATGGATGCTTTAGTGGAGATTGCTACATTGCAAGAGGTTGGGATAGATGACTCTTGAGGTCCCTTTGAACTCTACAATTCTAGGATCCTAAGGCAAATAGAAGGGGAAGAAATGGAGATAGTGAGAGATTTTACTTTCTTGGGCTCCATGATCACTGCATATGGTGACAGCAGTCACAAAATTAAAAGACGCCTGCTTCTTGGGAGAAGGGCAATGACAAACCTAGACAGCATCTTGAGAAGTAGAGATGTCACCTTGCCAACAAAGGTCTGTATAGTAAAAGCCATGGTTTTCCCAGTAGTGATGTATGGAAGTGAGAGCTGATCGCCGAAGAATTGATGCTTTTGAATTATGGAGGTGGAGGAGACTCTTGAGAGTCCCATGGACTGCAAGAAGATCAAACCTATCCATCCTTAAGGAAATCAGCCCTGAGTGCTCACTGGAAAGACAGATCCTGAAGCTGAGGCTCCAATACTTTGGCCACCTCATGAGAAGAGAAGACTCCCTGGAAAAGACCCTGATGTTGGGAAAGATGGAGGGCACAAGGAGAAGGGGACGACAGAAGACGAGATGGTTGGATAGTGTTCTCGAAGCTACCAGCATGAGTTTGTCCAAACTGCGGGAGGCAGTGGAAGACAGGAGTGCCTGGCATGCTCTGGTCCATGGGGTCACGAAGAGTCGGACACGACTAAATGACTAAACAACAAAAGGCAGCACCTTCTGCATTACCCTCAGCAGCTATGGGGGAAAGAAAAGCAGCAGCAAGAAAATAAAGTCAACGCTCCTCCACGTTTAAAAAAGAAACACACACACACACACACATCTTATTTTTAAGTGGAGACTGCAGTCATTTTCCCCCAGGCACTTCAGATTAAAATAGGCCAACAAACTGCTTTTATATATATATAAAACCAAGGAAATCAAATCATCATTGCCTGCGGGAAGACGGGAATTCAAATAAGCTTTTCAAATGAATTTCTCTCTCTTTGCCGCCCCCCCCCCCAGCCAAACCTTTCTCTCTTCCATTTAAAAATAAGGCGAGGGGGAGAGAGACTTTCTTGCTGCAGCAGTTTTGCTTGAGTTCAATAGGGAACGGTGATAAGAGCATCCTGAGGGAGCTCGGAGGAAGCGGGAACGCAAAAAGGAGACTTTTGAGGGCGCCCGAAACTCTTCGCTGCTCTTTTCCCTCCGGTTAATGAGGAGATTAAAGGGCAGGAGGTGCTCAGAGCGGCTGCTCGGCAGAATGACCTTGCAATGTCACTCGTCTTTGGGTTGGGGCTATTTTTCCTCCTTCCTTCTGTAATGGGACCTGCTCTGTTTCGGGCACTTAAGAGATGTCACCCATCTCTGTTTAGGGAAGTTTTTAATGACTGATCTATTAATGTATTTTTAACCTTCTGTTGGAAGCCGCCCAGATAGGCGGGGTAGAAATAAATTATTATTATTATTATTATTATTAATTATATACCGGACCGCCTCTCCTGGTATGCCCCACGGAGGACCTTAAGGTCCACAAATGACAACATTTTGGAGGTCCCAAGTCACAAGGTGGTTAGGTTGGTCTCAACTAGAGCCAGGAGCTTTTCAGTATTGGCCCCAACTTGGTGGAACACCAAGAAGTCAAGTCATGCAGGGCCCTAGTCCCTTGTGACAGAGCGTTCCACCAAGTTGGGGCCAGTACTGAAAAGGCCCTGGCTCTAGTTGAGACCAATCTAACCACGACTTGGGACTTCCAAAGTGTTGTCATTTGTGGATCTCCACAGGGCATACCAGGAGAGGCGGTCCCAAAGGTATGCAGGTCCTAGGCCACATAGGGCTTTAAAGGTCAAAACCAGCCCCTTAAACCTGATCCTGTACACCACCGGGAGCCAGTGCAGCTGGTAAAGCACTGGATGAATGTGATCCCGTGGCAAGGAGACTTGCCGCAGCATTCTGCACCCGCTGGAGTTTCTGGGTCAGCTTCAAGGGCAGCCCTGCGTAGAGCGAATCACAGTAATCAAGCCTGGAGGTGACTGTCACATGGATCACTGTGGCCACATCAGGGCGAGAAAGGTAAGGGACCAACCGCTTAATACGGCAACTGCTTAAGGGGCCAACTGCTTAAGACCAATAGATGGGAAATTTTATCAGGTTAGAAGAAGAAAAAGGTTCCAGACACTCAAGTGTCTATCTTTCCTTCCTGAAAATTTAGATTATACTCCTGACGTTCACGGGGGACAAAAACAGTATAATTTATTTTCTCCTTCGCTGGGAAACTCTGGGAGTGGCGGCTGGGATCTTTAATTACAGAAAAATCAAAAACACAATGTGAAAGGCAGCTAATTAGATGCGGGAAGGGGAACCTCATAACAAACTCCCCAAAGATTGACACACACCTGAAATTTATGAATATATGGAAACAGCCAGGTGCTGTTTCTTTTTTCGGGGGGGACACAGGCAAAAAAAGGGTAGACAGACTAAATAACCATAGAACTGCAGAGTTGCAAGAGGCCCCAAGGGTCATCTAGCCCAACCCACTTTAACGCAGAAATCAAAGCTTTTCTTCTCACAAAGCGTGGAACAAGATTGCCTATCCCCACTGTAAGACAGTGGTTGTAGGCACAAGTCATTTTTTGGGGGGGTGAGAAGTCTATCTAGCAGAGGCCCATGGTGAACTACAGATCAAATGAGGCCTTTTTAGTGGTAGCCCCACACTTACGGAACTCACTTCCGCAGGGAATCAGGCTGCCCCCGAATACTTCTTTCCGTTTCTCTGGAGCTCAGAAGTGGCTGGTCCATTTCGGGCAAGCGGGGCATCACCCATCAGACTGGCTTTGCTCTCAGCCAGCCTCCATCTGCCTGCCTTCTGATAACAACAGCGTGGTGTAGTGGTTAGAGTTCTGGACTAGGGCCTGGGAAAGTCTCCCCACTAAGCCACAAAGCTCGCTGGATGGCCTCGCAGCCTAACCTTCCAAACAGGGTTGTTGCAGGGGACTAAATGACAGGAGGGAGAGTTATGTACACTGCTCTGATCTCCTTGAAGGAAAGGGGATTAGGAATGCAATCAACAAGCCAACAACCAAACAGCCCCATGGAGGGGGGGGGTCAGCGCTGCTTCTCATTGGCTCTGGCTCAGCCAATCACCATCTCCACCCACTTTTTGGTCTTTCTGCCTTCATCCCCACTAGTCTCCAGTGGGTACCAGCGGCCACCTCCACATCCATAAATGGCTATTAAGACATGATGCTCAGAGGCAATCTACCTTTGGATGGTGAGTCACCAAATGACAGAAGCAACAGGGCCATAGCTGTTGATTTACAGATTTAAAAATAAGGGACCAGCAGCCAAAATAAGGGATTTTAGACAACCAGCACCCAAACGAAGCCTCCAGCAGTGGTTCCCATGATGTGACCAGCATGAAGTGGGGGCTGGCCAGCTCCCCTCATTCCCCGCAAGCCTTCCTTTCGCCGTGCCCTCCGCTTCTCGCTTCTTCCCCGCTCGCTCATCTCTCCCCGCCACACTTCCTAGGGAGGGAGAGATGAAGGGGGCAGTCTCTCCAGCTCCGCCATCGAGCCGAGGACATCTTGCGCGGCTGCATTAGATGGGAGGGAGGAGAAGGGGGAGCGGGGGGCTGAGATTGCAACCCCCCCCCCCGCACACTCAGGGCGGGCTTGGTTTGTCCCTGTCGCTGAGAGGAGAGAGGAGGCGGGGGGGGTTTCACTGAGCCGCAGCCATTCCCTGACGGGAAGGGACTCTAGGATCCTGGAAACTGGCGGAGTGATGTGTTTGGGCCGGGGGGGGCGGGGCGGCGCTTTTGCTGCGGCCGCCGCCTCTGTTGCCGCTGGAGAAAGGAGGCGGAGACAACGAAGAGGAAGAGGAGGAAGACAAGGGGGCTCGGGCCAGGGGGAGACTGTTGCCCAGGGGGTCTGGGCTTGGGGGGAAGACAGAGCAGCGCGCGGCTGCGGGGTATAGTTGTTGCTGCCACTGCTGGCGAAGAGAAGGGTTGGAGAGGCCGAGTCGGACTCAGGGAGGGAGGGAGAGGAGCTGCTTCCTTTGAAACCCGGGAAATTTACGGCACATCATCAATAAGGGACAGCAGAGGGACATGGCGCTGGGATAAGGGACTTTCCCGCCAAATAAGGGACGGTTGACAGCTATGAACAGGGCTTTCACAATCTCCTTGTGAGCTTCCTAGGGGCGTTTGTGGATGCTGGCCTTGCTATAATAAAAAAAACCTTTTATCTGACCCTAAAAGGCAGCCCACAATCCATGGGAAAAAATCAACCAACCAACAAGAAGATGTCAAATCTCTCACATTCCCTTGCTAAGCAAAGGTTTGCTCAAAACATTTGTTTTCTCACTCATTTTCTTTCTTCCCTCCTTAAAAACATCCTAAAGTAGAGTCCTGTGTAACCTGGAAGCCTGCATAGCACGTTGTCAAAATACCAGCTGATCCAGCAAATATTTTTTAAAAAGGAAGTTACTCACGCAGAGCAATTTTGGCCAAATGCAAGCGGTTGACCCAGGAGATTTTGCTGAGGGGGTTGGGGGTGATGAAGACTACCATGACATTGACAGGGCGCCCAGACCTGAGGTGGGAAAGAGTCCAGAAAGGGAAAGAAAAAAAGGATTAGAGAGCGTGTATTTTGTCTATCCATTACTTTATACCACACAGTTACATATTTCTTATATCATTCCTTTTAACTCCCTACAAATTATATTTATACAATACAGGGATCAGTCTAATTCTGCCAATAGACAAAGTACAGTGAGATTAATTGGAAGTCAGTTTTAAATTTCTTTTCTATAAATTTTATAATTGAGTTCAATACCAGGAGTATATATGATGATAATTATATTAATCTTCTTATAGTGTGGTAGTTTGTTTGATTTTTCTGTTATTTGTTTGTTTGATTGATTGTATGTTTGTTTACTTGTATGTATGTCTGTTTTTCCTAAATGTATTTATTTTAAATTAATAAAGACATATATATATATATAAAATAGAGAGTGTGCATTTGCTGGAGACAATCGATTCTGCATCTTCCTTTGCCTGTTAAGCCTGGATGTAGAAAAGGGTGTTGTTGGGCTCCAATAACATCTAGAGGGCATCCAGTTTGAGGAAGAATCCTGTGTAACTCCAAAGTCGGCACGGCACTTTGTGTTTTAAAGTGGGCTAATGGAGTAGGAAGGGACGTGGGTGGCGCTGTGGGTTAAACCACAGAGCCTAGGACTTGCCGATCAGAAGGTTGCTCGGCCCCGTTGCTCGGCCCCAGCTCCTGCCAACCTAGCAGTTAGAAAGCACATCAAAGTGCAAGTAGATAAATAGGTACCACTCTGGCGGGAAGGTAAATGGCATTTCCGTGTGCTGCTCTGGTTCACCAGAAGTGGCTTAGTCATGCTGGCCACATGACCTGGAAGCTGCACGCCGGCTCCCTCAGCCAATAAAGCGAGATGAACACCGCAACCCCAGAGTCGGCCACGACTGGAACCTAATGGTCAGGGGTCCCTTTACCTTTAGTGGAGTTGGAGTCAAAGGCTTAGAGTGCACCATCAGCCACAACCTGGGGCAAACTCCTGGGGCATTTTTGTTAAAAAAAGGAAATAAATAGCTGAAGGTCGAATAACCCACTTGTCTGGCTTCCCTGGGAGTAGGAGACGGAGGCGGCACTTGTTTGCAGAATGGATCTCTTCCTCTTTCACCCGCATCAGCCTCTGCAGGGCTAAGCACCAGTCCTGAGCAACGGTCATGTTCAGATTCTAGGAACCAGAGAGGGGGAAATTAAAGAAAAAAGGAGGGGCAGTCACACAACCACATAGAATCCTAGAATCCTAGAGTGGAAGGGTACCCCCAAAGGTCATCCATTCCAACCCCCTGCAAAGCAGGAATTGCAACGAATTAATCCCTGACTGGTGGCCATCCAAGCTCTGCTTAAAAACCTGCCTTCTGAGGAAGTCTATCCCACTGTTGTTGTTGTTGTTGTTTAGTCGTGTCCGACTCTTCGTGACCCCATGGACCAGAGCACGCCAGGTACTCCTGTCTTCCACTCACTGCCTCCCGCAGTTTGGTCAAACTCATGTTCGTAGCTTTGAGAACTATCTCGTCCTCTGTCGTCCCCTTCTCCTTGTGCCCTCCATCTTTCCCAACATCAGGGTCTTTTCCAGGAAGTCTTCTCTTCTCATGAGGTGCCAAAGTCTTGGAGCCTTAGCTTCACGATCTGTCCTTCCAGAGCACTCAGGGCTAATTTCCTTAAGAATGGATACGTTTGATCTTCTTGCAGTCCATGGGACTCTCAAGAGTCTCTTCCAGCACCATAATTCAAAAGCATCAATTCTTCGGCGATCAGCCTTCTTTATGGTCCAGCTCTCACTTCCATACATCACTACTGGGAAAACCATACCTTTACTATACGGACCTTTGTTGGCAAGGTGATGTCTCTGCTTTTTAAGATGCTGTCTAGGTTTGTCGTTGCTTTTCTCCCAAGAAGCAGGCGTCTTTTAATTTCGTGACTGCTGTCACCATCTGCAGTGATCATGGAGCCCAAGAAAGTAAAATCTCTCACTGCCTCCATTTCTTCCCCTTCTATTTGCCAGGAGGTGATGGGACCAGTGGCCATGATCTTAGTTTTTTTGATGTTGAGCTTCAGACCATATTTTGCGCATTCATATTCCACTGTTAAACAGGTCTTAAACTCGGAATTGTTTTGCTAAGGTTCAGTTAGAATCTCCTTGCTTGTAGCTTGAAGGCACTGGGTTCAGAATCTCCCCTCTTGAGCAGCAGAAAACACGCTTGGTCCATCTTCCATGTGAAGGCCCTTCAGATAGGTAAAGGTGGCTATCACATCACCTCTCATTCTCCTCCTTCGCAGGCTAAACATACCCAATTCCCTCCCATCAGATGTCAAGGAAATAAACAACTGTCTGACTTTCAGAAGACATCTGAAGGCAGCCCTGTACAGTCAAACCTCAGCTGTCGAACGTAATCCATTCTGGAAGACTGTTCAACTTCTGAAACGTTTGTCAACCGAGGCGCGGCTTCCGATTGGTTGCAAGAGCTTCTAGCACTCAAGCAGAAGCTACGTCTTGATGTTCAGGTTCTGAAAAACGTTTGAAAACCAGAGAATTTACTTGCGGGTCTTCAGCGTTCAGGAGCCAAAACTGTCGAAAATCGAGCCGTTCAAGAACCTAGGTTTGACTGTACAGTGGTACCTCAGAATGCGAAGGGGTCCGTTCCAGAGACCTGTTCGCATCCTGAAGCGAACGCAACCCGCGTCTGCGCGTGCACGGGTCGCGTTTCGCCGCTTCCACGCATGCGTGTGATGTCATCTTGCTCCGTTACTTCCGGGTCGCCGCAGAGCGCAGCCCGAAAATACTTAACTTGAAGCACATTTATCCTGAGGTATGACTGTATAGGGTAGTTTTTAACGTTTGATGTTTCTTGTGTTTTTAATATTCTGCTGGGAGCTGCCCAGCGTGGCCGGGGCAACCCAGTCAGATGGGCGGCATATAAACAATAAAATTATTTTTTATCATCATCATCAATATTGTGCATTGTTGTCGTTCAATCCTAATGCTGTGTTTTAATTGCCGTAACCTGCCCTGGGACCTTAGGTTGAAGGGTTATTAACATATTGTAGTAATAATAATAATACTGTAATAATAATAATGGTTTTTTTCAGCTGGAGCTTACCAGAACTCAGTTGTGGCATTGCCATTGCCACACTAAGAGAACAAGGGATAATAATATTAATAATATGTAACGTTAGACTGTTTTGCCTCTTTTCATTTAACAAATGTTCTGTGACATTGAGGAGGTGGTAATTCTGTATTGATTTACAATGGATGTTCGTATGTGATGCCAATAAAAGGTTTGATGAGGATGATAAAATATTAATAATAAATATTATTCCTGATGAGGAACGGTTGAGGGAATTGGGGATGTTTAGCCCGGAACAGAGGAGACCCAGAGGAGATATGAGAGCCGTCTTCAAAGATCTCAAGGGCTGTCACATGGAAGACGGAATGAGCATGTTTTCTCCTGCTTTGGAGGGTAGGACTCAAACCCATGGATTCAAACGACCAGAAAGGAGATTCTGACTAAACATCAGGAAGAACTTTCTGGCAGTGAGAGCTATTTGACAGCGGATAGCTCAATTGGTTAGAATGTGGCGCTGATCATGCCAAGGTTGCAGGTTCGATTCCTCATACGGGACAGCTGCATATTCCTGCATTGTAGGGGGTGGGTCCCTTCCAACTCTACAATTCTATGATTTGTGACATCAGGTGACACCTGTCAAATGTGGCCCCCGATGGGTGGGGTAGATAAGGAACGAGCCCACCGACTAGATCCGCTTGGTGATCCCTGGCCTTCAGCCTGACACCCCCGTGGAAATCTTTTGTTTCAAAACAAACCCTCAGAGGTCTCACCTGGTATGTACCATGAAGGGTGCTGATGAGCAGAGTGATCTGTTCCACCACTGCCAGGTCTTTCTGGAGATCTTGTAGCTCCTGAAACAGGCGAGGAGGACCCAGGTACACTTTATCTGGTGGTAAGAAGGGACAGGGAGAAGCCACAATGACAAGGGCAAACGACACAATGACGTCGGCAGCCCAGAGGAAGCCATGTCCACAGCTAAACACTAGCAGCCAGTCGATTAAAAAATAAAAAGGAGAACCCAAACACTGCTTGCATTTGTCTCTCTGAAAACATCCTGCCGCAACAAGCTCGTTTTATATAAATCTATAGAATTTACATTCATTCATTTATACGCCACATGGTTTGCGAAAAACCTCAAAAGAATAGAAACGGTTTATTGAATATTTACAAAAATAAAATTTAAACAGATAAGAACATTGGCAGGATTGTTGTAATCGCCTGCAATTTTATAAGAGTATATGTTTAAAGTAGATGAATAAATGAGGAAATCAAGTTAATTTGCATGTGCAGAATCTAGCAACATTATATGTTGCAAGGAGGTATAGAATTGCCATGTGCGCCCTGGGTACTTATGAAGGACGTTGATTTCTGAGGAGACAGCTGGGACGTCACTATTTTATTTTTATTTTTTCCCCAATTGCTGTGGACCTAAAGCAGGCAGGTCCAAAGTCTGCTCTGGGGGCCTAATTCAGCTCCCCAGCTGGTTGTATTCAGCCCCTGTGGCAGTTTTATTATTATTATTTATACCCCACCCTCCTCAGCCAGAGCCAGGCTCAGGGCAGTTAACACCAGTAAAATTACAATAAAAACATAATAGGAAAAATACAATAGGGAAAAAACCCAATTTAAAATACAGGTTAAAATGCAACCTCATTTTAAAAGTAGCCCATTGATCTAAACCATAAGGGGAGGAAAACATAAAGGTCAGACTGAGTCCAAACCAAAGGCCAGGCGGAACAGCTCTGTCTTGCAGGCCCTGCGGAAAGATGTCAAGTCCTGCAGGGCCCTAGTCTCTTGTGACAGAGCGTTCCACCACGTCGGGGCCAATACTGAAAAGGCTCTGGCCCTAGTTGAGACCAATGTAACCACCTTGCGACTTGGGACCTCCAATGTGTTGTCTCCGCAGGGCATACCAGGAGAGGCGGTCCCGTAGATACGAGGGTCATAGACTGCATAGGGCTTTAAAGGTCATAACCAGCACCTTAAACCTGTCCCTATACTCCACCGGGAGCCAGTGCAGCTGGTAAAGCATTGGATGAATGTGATCCCACTGCAAGGACCCCGTAAGAAGCCTCGCTGCGGCATTCTGCACCCGCTGGAGTTTCTGGGTCAGCTTCAAGGGCAGCCCCGCGTAGAGCGAGTTACAGTAATCAAGCCTGGAGGTGACCGTCGCATGAATCACTGTGGCCAGATTAGGGTGAGAAAGGTAAGGGACCAACCACTTAATACGGCAACTGCTTAAGGGGCCAACTGCTTAAGACCAATAGATGGGAAATTTTATCAGGTTAGAAGGAGAAAAACGTCCCAGACACTCAGGTGCCTGTCCTTCCTTCCTGAAAATTTAGATTATACTCCTGATGTTCACGGGGGACGGAAACAGTATAATTTATTTTCTCCTTCGCTGGGAAACTCATTTCATCAAATCTGGCCCTCTTGGGGGGGAAATTGGGCACCCCTGAAGGGACAGATTTGGATTGCATTCCAAAGTGGTTCGATCGGAAGCAAAAGCGCCTACTCACTGTGTGAGGACTGGCTGCTTGGCATGTGCTTCTTCAGCCCAAGATTGGGGATGACCACGTTGTCCTTCTCGTGGGCGCTGCTCTCCTGCCCGACTTCCACCACCTGGACCTGCGGCAGAGCGGCGTTCCATTTCACGATGTACTTGGGGCCGAGCGGAACCAGGGTGCTGATTTCCAGCTGCCCCCTGCAAGGAGAAGAGGGCGGGAGAGGGGATTCCAGTTTTAAAGAAAAATAATTGCCGAGGAAGAAGGGTTTATCCAGTCCAACCGTGCAGGCGAGGGGTGCTACTCAATCCCAAGCTCAGCCAAGATTAAAAATCCATTGCAACATGCACAAGAGAACCGCCACGCTTCTGCTGGAAGCCACGGAAGGGAAAGGGGGCTGTTGTGTTTGGGTCCCACTTGCAAATTTCCCACCTGGCTGGCCACTGGGAGAACAGGAGGTTGGACTGCAGGGTCTAATCCAGCCAACCAGGCTCTCCTGATGCCCTACCATGAGAGGCAGTAACAGCCACCAGCTTGGACGCCTTACAAAGAGAAATTCGCGAAGGAGAGGGCATGACAACTACGCTCTGCCCACACAACCAGAGGCAGTGATGCTTCTGAACACTGGAGAGTACAGTGGTATATAATAATAATAATTTATTATTTATACCCCGCCCATCTGGCCGAGTCTCCCCAACCACTCTGGGCGGCTCCCAATCAAATGTTAAAAACAGTACAGCAGTAAATATTAAAAACTTCCCTAAACAGGGTTGCCTTCAGATGTCTTTTAAAGATAGGATAACTGCTTATTTCCTTCACATCTGACGGGAGGGTGTTCCACAGGGCGGGCGCCACTACCGAGAAGGCCCTCTGTCTGGTTCCCTGTAACCTCACTTCTCGCAGTAAGGGAACTGCCACAAGGCCCTCGGAGCTGGACCTCAGTGTCTGGGCTGGATGATTGGGGTGGAGACGCTCCTTCAGGTATACAGTTTGACTATATGCAATTTTGGCCTTAGGTGATCCACAAAATGTAACCAGCCAATTGAGTTTGGGGCTTACTACATAACGCGCACCACAAATCATGGAAAGACGTTATTAGCTGCTTAAAAGCGAGAGCCAGCTCCCAACACTACGCAGGCAGAAGCAACCGAAAGCCCACCACAATCCATCACCAGCATGCCAAAACTTGCGCCCCCGATAAAATGTGGGGCAAACCACCCAAACCTTGCCTTACCTGGAGTTAATCGGCCTGTGGAAGAAAAAGATCAAAGCAGCAGTCATTGTTGGAATCTCAGAAACCCCAGGGAAAACTCAGAGAAACCCAGAGGAGTTCAGGGATATTTTTTTAAATAAAAAACGATAAGTTGCGTGTCTTTGCTTCTCAATTTGTATCGTGCTATTTTATGCTCCGTGGGACATGCTGATTTTTTTTACTGATTAGAAATTATTTATTACAATTGTTAAGAGAGAATTTCCGTTTATTATTTGCTGATATTGTGTACAGTTGTTTTCTAATGGATTCTTGAAAGTTACTTTATTTGATATGTTGCTTGCTCTTATTATGACCTTTTCCACATTGGATCAGATTGTTATAAAGCATTCGATCTTTGTCGTTTCTTCAGCTTGCAAACCGCCTTGTGTACAGTAATTTAGAAAGGCAGTGTACAAACTAAAAGCGAAATGGAAATGAAATGAAATCTGAGCTCGTACCAACTCGCAGCCGCACAACCAAGCGAGGTGTGCCAAAGGAGAGGGGGCTACTGCATAGCTGTCAACCGTCCCTTATTTGGCGGGAAACTCTCTTATCCCAGCGCCGTGTCCCACTGCTGTCCCTAATTGATGATGTCCCTTAAATTTCCCGGGTTTCATGCTCGCCCGGGTCAGGAGAGAAGCAGCGGCTCGGGGTCCTCCGCCGCAACAGAGAGCGCACGCATGAGCTGCCACGTCTCCGTCTCTCCCTTTTCCCCCTCGGGCGTGTCGTGAGGAGACGGGTGGCGGCAGGCAGGCAGGCAGCCCCTCTCTTGCGAGACGTCCGCCGCGCTGCCAGGGGAAGCCGGAGGCGTAGGATCATCTAGTCCAACCCCCTGCAAAACACAGTCAGTCGCAGCAAAAGCAGCATGGCTCCATCAGTGCCGGATTTATGTATAAGCTAAGCAAAATCCCTTATTTTGGCTGCTGAGCCCTTATTTTCGAGGCTGCTGGTCCCTTGTTTTCAAATCTTTAAGTTGACAGCCATGGGCTATTGCCTCCTGCATGTGGACTTCCCATTGGGGCCTCTGGTCTGATTCCTTCTAGGGTTGTAGTGGGGGTTGAATGAGGGAGGGGGAGAGCTTAATAAAAAGCCCTCTATTCTTTGTACCCCACCCATCTGACTAGGTTGTCACAGCCACTCTAGGCTTCTTCCAACAGAATATAAAAAGGATAAAACAAAATATCAAACAATAAAAACTCCCCGAAAATAGGACTGCCTTTAGATGTCTACAAAATGTCATATCATTGTTTGACTCTCTTACATCTGACGAGATATATATACAGGTATCAAAAGGAAACCACTCAGGGCAGCCCCCCAGGAAGCAAAATACAGAGGCCTTTTTAAACACTTCAGCCACCTTCCTTGGAGGAAAATGTGAGCTATAAATGTAATCAATAAAATAAGTGGCAGGCGAGTCCATTAACCACTTTTCTCCTCTCGATATTCCCGGTTAAGGCTTCGGAACATCAAGCATACAGGTGAGCGAACTTCTGCAAAGGCAGATTTTTTCGTTTTCCTCACCTCCGCCTCACACAAAGGCATCATAGCGTCACAAACAAAAAAATATCTCACACCTCGAAGCATCGAAGCGAGGTGTCACCCTAGCAGCGTCTACCACTAGTTCCTGGCAGGTGGGAAAAAGAAATAAAAAACCAAAACACGCATTTCTAGGTGGCGAAGGGGGCTCTATCCTTTCCAAAGCTAGCAGAGAGTTGACGCGTGAAGGTGAACAGGAGAAGCTTCCAATTTCTTTTTTTAAGTTTAGCTCCTCAAGCAGGCCAGGCTACTTGATTTGTTTTCAAAAGCATACAAACAAAACAGAATACAAGTACTGGATTTGGGGCTTTGCAAAAGAAGACGAAGAAATACAGGTGAAAGTCAGAAAATTAGAATATCATGGAAAAGTTCATTTATTTCAGTAATTCAACTTAAAAGGTGAAACTAAGCCACGCTGTATTGAGGCCGTAATTGATGCATAAGGGGCCCAAACCAAATACTGAGTACATATGCATGCTTCTGCTTCTCAGAAGTCCAATATCGCTCTATTTGCAATCTTTGTTTTGCTGATTTCATTTCATATTCTAATTTTCTGAGATTGTTAATTTGGGGTTTTCATCAGCTGTACGCCCTGATCATCACAATTATAACAAACAAAGGCTTGACATATCTCGCTTTGCATGTCATGAGTCTATCTCATATATTAGTTAGTTTCACCTTTTAAGTTGAATTACTGAAATAAATGAACTTTTCCACGATATTCTAATTTTCCGAGTTTCACCTGTATTCTCAGAGGTGATATACTACTTCATCCTGTTTCCCCCCCCCCTTATTTAATGCTTTTAAAAACATGCTGTGATGTCCAACGATAATAAAGACCATTCCTATCTGATGGTTTTCCCATATGGCAAATCATCTGCGTGATTCAACTGATTGGGATTCCTCACATGCAGACTCTGGAGAAACTGGGGTTGTGTTGCAGCCGCCCTCCCAGGCACTTGCAGCGGGCCCCAATCCATAGCTGTCAACTTTTCCCTTTTCTTGCGAGGAATCCTATTCGGAATAAGAGAATTTCCCTTTAAAAAAAAGGGAAAAGTTGACAGCTATGCCCCGATCTCTCTCTTTAAGACCCTTCCACCTCTCGCAAGCACCCCCGCGAAATGGTCTGGACACGCACTTGAAGTTTATGTTGGTGCAGACCAGCATGTCATTCAGCAGGAAGACTTTCCGCTCCTTGGACTTGATGAGCTGGCCGCGGTCGCTGTAGACTGTCTCCGTCAAGGTCTCGCAGAGCAGCAGCTGCCGCTGGCCTGAGCTTAACAGCTGGGGCGGGGTGGACATTTTCGGGAGAGACAGATAGAGAGGAAACCATCAATTGGGGGACCTTAGGACCTTTCAGCCACCCCATCAAGATTATCCCACCTGAAGGGCAGAGGAGGAGAACCTAATTGCATACTGAAGGTCCCAACACCCGTATTATTTGCAAACGGAGCTTTTTCTGCAGACCAAGCACATGGACACAGGCCCTAAACATTTAAAAGGGTAAAAGGGTACAGTGGTACCTCAGGTTAAGTACTTAATTCGTTCCGGAGGTCTGTTCTTAACCTGAAACTGTTCTTAACCTGAAGCACCACTTTAGCTAATGGGGCCTCCTGCTGCCGCCGTGCCGCCGGAGCACAATTTCTGTTCTCAACCTGAAGCAAAGTTCTTAACCTGAAGCACTATTTCTGGGTTAGCGGAGTCTGTAACCTGAAGCGTATGTAACCTGAAGTGTATGTAACCCGAGGTACCACTGTATTGGGAAATGATCATAATGAATTGAAAAAAATGTTTAAAAGTACTGCCCCCCCCCAAACCAAACCACAGTCCTTTATGTTGGGGATAATCCAGATTGAAGTTCCCAGGTGTCCAAACAGGTTATTTATGTATGCAACAACTGTGGCCCGTGTTTTGTTAGCCCCCAAATGGAAAACGAGTGAGGTCCCAACCAAAGAAGAATGGCAACTTAAGCTGACAGAATATGCACAACCTGTAGACTTCACATATAGATTAAGAGAACAAGAACATACGTTTAGGGAAGACTGGAAAACGTTTATTGAATATATGGGAAATAATTGTGTACGGCTGAAAATGCTGGCAGCGTTAAGATAAATTCAACAGTGGAAATAAGTTTGGATGGAGGAAATAATGGAATACCGATTGGTATAGTTTTTGTAAAATGTGCAGGGATTTATGATATGTAAAATGAATCATGGAAAGAAAAGGGAAGTCATTGATATCTTACAGATATAAAATGAGTATTTTAAATTGTAAAACAGAAAATATACATACACACACACACACACAGAGTGCTTTTTTCTGGGAGGATGCAGGGGGTACACATACCCCTAAACATTTTGTGAATCTAAAGCCTTTTTTATTATTATTATTTAAAGAAACACTATAACATGATGAATTCACAAGCATGATTTGAACTATGAACAACAGAAGGAATTAGAGATTGTTGAATTGTTGTTATGGTAAAAGATGTGGTGAAGCAAGGAGGGAAATAAAAAAACAGAATGGAAAACGGGGCAGGAGGTTGACAAAACCAAAGAAAAAATTATTATGGAGTGCACAGTCATACATTGGAAGTCAAACAGAATCCGTTCCAGAAGTCCGTTCAATTTCCGAAACATTCGAAAACCAAAGTGCGGCTTCTGATTGGCTGCTGAGGAAGCTCCTGCAGCCAATCGGAAGCCCTGTCGGAGGTTCGGCTTCCAAAAACAGTTCGCAAACTGAAACAGTCACTTCTGGGTTTGCGGCATTCGGGAGCCAAAACGTTCAGGAACTCAGCTGTTTGAAAACCAAGGTACGACTGTATAGGTGGATTTTCTGAAAATGTGATAAAATATAACTGCAAAAACAGGGATCAAGAGCCACGGGAGCGCAGCCTATGTCAGCTAAGTGTCTTGGCAGATTGTCAGAGAGTGGGTAGCTGGTCATGAGGAGAGAGCCTCTTTGGTCTTTGCATCCCTCAAGCATCCCTAGAAGGACCAGACCTTGAGCCTACCTTGTTGATGCTGCTGCGGTCGCTGACGCTCTTGGTGAGTTGCTGGATCTCGGCCACCTGGTCCGCCAGTCGCTTCTGTTCGTTGAGTTTCTCCGCCAAGGTCTCCAGCTCCGTCAGAGCCAGCTGGAGGGAGAGCCGGTCAGCGTGGCCCTTGGGAGTGTTTTTCAGCATGTCCTGGAAGAAGAAGAAGAAGAAGAAGAAGAAGAAGAAGAAGAAGAAGAAGAAGAAGAAGAAGAGAGCCATCAGGCGGGAAGAGGGACCTCCATTCCAAACACCTGAGCCACTAAGGAGACTCAAAGGAAAAATATGAAGAACAGAGGTTTTGACGAATGGACTACCAAAAACGCGTGAGGCCAACGGTGGAAGTCTTTTAAAAATATTTTAATTAAGATAGATAAGGATATGATGAAAATACATAATTGAACATAAATATAGATTGGAAATGGCTGTGTATAGAGAATACTTATCTATTTTTAAAATTCTCATTCTTGATCTTATTCTTCCTTTTCTTTATCTTCTTCTTGTTCTTTTCTTTTATATTTTACCTTTCATTTCTTTATTGTAAATATTGTTTTGTAGAGGTGTAAATAATTGTAAATATGAGAAGAGGTAAAATGTTCTCTAATTTTCTCTTGGTTACATGTATTTTCCTTTTTTTGTATGTTTGTATTTTTTTCTAATTTGTAAATAATAATAATAATAATAATAATAATAATAATAATAATAATAAATAAATAAAAACAAAAAAAAACCTGGGCCAATGGAGGAGCAAGCTGGGAGCTGAGACATGCATTTCCACCCCACGCGCAAAGCAAACTTTCCACCCATCCTTCTCCCAGCTTGGTCTTCCCCTCCAACGAGATGATAAACCTAAGAACATAAGGAGAGCCTGGCTGCAGGATCAGGCCAAGGACTAATCTGGCCCATCCTCCTATTTTCACAGTGGACAACCAAATGCCCCTCCTCCCCCGTGGGAAACCTGTAGGTAGGAACCGGGAATAATAATAATAATAATAATAATAATAATAATAATAATAATACCCCACTCTGGGCAGCTTCCAGCACATATAAAAAGACAGGGGCACCAGAAATACCGTATTTTTCGCTCTATAGGATGCACTTTTTCCCCTCCAAAAATTAAGGGGAAATGTGTGTGCATCCTATGGAGCGAGTGCAGGCTCCTTGGCTTCAGCGATAGCAACACAAAGCCTCCAAAGCGCAGAGGGAGCGCTCCCTACGCGCTCCAGAGGCTACGCGTTGCTTTCGCTGAAGCCTGGAGAGCGAGAGGAGTCGGTGCGCACCAACCCCTCTCGCTCTCCAGGCTTCAGGGATAGCCGCCTGAAGCCTTGGAGCGCAGTGTGAACTCATGCTGCGCTCCAAAGGCTTCGGGTTCCTTTCACTGAAGCCAGGAGAGCAAGACTCCCCTGGCTTCAGCAGAGAGGGAGAGCTGCGCAGCACCCCTTCAGCCAAGCGGGAGGAGAAATGGAAGGGGCTCCATTTCTCCTGCCGCTTCGCTGAAGGGGCGCTGAGCAGAGAGGGGGGTAATTTTTTTTTCTTGTTCTCCCCCTCTAAAACAAGGTGCGTCCTATGGTTGGGTGCGTCCTATAGAGCGAAAAATACGGTAAATGTTTCCATTTTCAAACGCACCTCAGAAGTCAAATGGCTTCTGTTGCGTGTTTTTCAATTTTCTCCATTGCATTTGCAGGCCACCCTTGGCGCCTCAGTTTTCGAACATTTCGGAAGTCGAACAGTCTTCTGGAACAGATTACGTTCGAAGGAGGTAAAAGGTAAAGGTAACCCTGCCCGTACGGGCCAGTCTTGCCAGACTCTAGGGTTGTGCGCTCATCTCACTCTATAGGCCGGGAGCCAGCGCTGTCCGGAGACACTTCCGGGTCACGTGGCCAGCGTGACAAGCTGCATCTGGCGAGCCAGCGCAGCACACGGAAACGCCGTTTACCTTCCCGCTTGTAAGCGGTCCCTATTTATCTACTTGCACCCGGGGGTGCTTTTGAACTGCTAGGTTGGCAGGCGCTGGGACCGAACAACGGGAGCACACCCCGCCGCGGGCATTCGAACCGCCGACCTTTCGATCGGCAAGCCCTAGGCGCTGAGGCTTTTTTACCCACAGTGCCACCCGCGTCCCTCGAAGGAGGTACCACTAATCAAACGTCAAACATTACAAAATTCCCAATACAGGAAAGAAAAGAGAGAAAACTCTCCTTTCCTGCAATTTCCAGCAAATGTGATTCAGAAGCACAGTTGCTTCAAACTGTGGAGTCTCTGCATAGTCATTGTGGCTACTAACTCCTGTGGCAGGGAGTTCCATAGTTTAACTATGTGCTGCATGGAGAAGTTTTTTTCTTTTATCTGTCCCGAATCTTCCAGCATTCAGCTTCATTGGATACCGACAGGCTCTAGTACAGTAGTACCTCGGGTTAAGTACTTAATTCATTCCAGAGGTCTGTTCTTAACCTGAAACTGTTCTTAACCTGAAGCACCACTTTAGCTAATGGGGCCTGCTGCTGCTGCCGTGCTGCCGGAGCACGATTTCTGTTCTCATCCTGAAGCAAAGTTCTTAAACTGAGGTACTAATTTCTAATTTCTGGGTTAGCGGAGTCTGTAACCTGAAGCGTATGTAACCTGAAGCGTATGTAACCTGAAGCGTATGTAACCCGAGGTACCACTGTATTATGAGAAACGGAGAAATTCTTTTCTGTATCCACTTTCTCCAAGCTAGGTCTAAATTTTATAAACTTCCATCAAGTCACCTTAGACTCACTTTCTCTCTAAGCTAAAAAGTCCCAAATGCTGTAACCTTCCTCCATAGGGTTACCCTTGTCCAAACCTTTTCCAACACCACAATATCCTTTCTGAGGTAAGACAACTGGAAATGTACACAGCATTGCAAATGAGGTTGTGCTTCAGGCCCTGGGGGCAGAATCTGGCCCTTCAGGCCTTTCTGTCTGGCCCCTGGGATAGAGGGGAAAGGCTCTCCCTCACCTTTGAGAATAATCAGATAAGCACTTTTAAAAGGGTACCTGGAGGAGGAGAATGAACTGGGGGAATCTTTGGATGGGTTTCACCATCAGGCCGTAAAGGGTCACCCGGTCGACGCTGCCCATCTGCCTCTTCTGCCAAGAGAAGAATCGTCCACTGTTAATGTGAGGACCTCTGCCTTCCAATTTGGTGGGTCTCCAGCCTCCCACCTTGGAGATAATGCTGGTCGGGCCCAGACAGTAAATTTCCACTCTCTGGACCCAACGCTGGCATGCAGGAGGCTTGGCAGAGCCTATCCTATTCACTGCCGTAACCAACGCTTGCAACAGCATACCCATTTTACAGACTGGGAAAACCGAGGCCAGGAAAGAGCAGCTTGGCCCATGGCTCTCCTAGCCCAGAGCAGAGTCAGAACATGAACCTGGTCCTCGCTCATGTCACACCCACACCCAACATTTAGAGCACAGTGTTTCTGCCAAAGAATCCTGGGAACTCTAGTTCACCCCTCCCACAGCTACAATTCCCAGCTCTTGTAGCAAACTACTGACCTTGAGGAACTCTAGAAAGGCAGGCTTGGTGAGGCAGGCCTTCTTGATCAAGGACATGGCAGTGGTGAAATTGTTGACGTATTCGCTGTAGACATCCAGCACCATAGACTTGGAAAACTGGGGTGGAAGCGGGAAGAGAGAGAGAGAGAGAGAGAGAGAGAGAGAGAGTTTTCACACCTATTTCGTTCAGAGCAAAGCCATTGTGGCTAGTAGCTATCGACTGCCCTCTCCTCCATGAATATGTCTGATTTTTTAAAGCCCTCTAAGTTGGGGGCCTTTGTCCATGGAGTTTTATTGGCAGGGATACTGGAGTGGCTTGCCAGTTCCTGCTCCAGGCAGATCACGTTTGGTCAAAACTCTCCACTATGACCTGTCCATCTTGGGTGGCCCTGCACGACATAGCTCATAGCTTCTCTGAGTTATTCAAGCCCCTTCACCATGGCAAGGCAGTGATCCATGAAGGGTTAGGAAGTGAGAGCTGGACCATAAAGAAGGCTGAAGAATTGATGCTTTCGAATTATGCTGCTGGAGGAGACTCTTGAGAGTCCCATGGACTGCAAGAAGATCAAACCTATCCATTCTGAAGGAAATCAGCCCTGAGTTCTCACTGGAAGGACAGATCCTGAAGCTGAGGATCCAATACTTTGGCCACCTCATGAGAAGACTCCCTGATGTTGGGAAAGATTGAGGGCACAAGGAGAAGGGGACAACAGAGGATGAGATGGTTGGACAGTGTTCTCGAAGCTACCAGCATGAGTTTGACCAAACTGCGGGAGGCAGTGGAAAACAGGAGTGCCTGGCGTGCTTTGGTCCATGGGGTCACGAAGAGTCGGACATGACTAAACGACTAAACAACAACAACAAAGTTGGGGGCCATCATTGCCTCCTGGTACGTAGGCATTAAACTAAGTTAGTGCCCATTCCATTTGCCCCAACCAATCGACGCTGAACTAGAAGGGTTGTTTTCTCCATTTCCATTTGCCTTGACCAAAGATGTTAACCTAGAAGGGCTGCTTTTCTCCATTTCAGATTCCATCCACATCCCTTATTGATTGTCCTTTGAAGCAGCTCAAAGCTTCCGGGGTCATTCCACAAGGTGGAGGCTTGAAGGTTGAGGATGCTTGGGAAAGGTTGTGGAATGAAAGGATAAGATTTGCAGCCTGTAATGCTTGGAAAGAGAATATGATGAAAATGATGTATAGATGGTATATTACACCAGTGAAATTAGCTAAAATGTATAAGACAAATAATAAATGTTGGAAATGTAAAGAAAAAGAAGGAACATTTTATCATATGTGGTGGGAATGTAAAAAAGTAAAGAACTTCTGGGAATAATGAGATGAAAAAGATGTTGAAATATGCATTCTTAAAAAAACCAGAAGCATTTTTAATTGGTATTATAGGTCAGGAAATTAATAGGCAAGATGTTAAATTGTTTTTATATGCAACAACTGCAGCAAGAGTATTGTTAGCCCAGAAATGGAAACAAGAAGAAATTCCGACGACAGAAGAATGGCAGACGAAATTAATGGACTATGCAGAATTGGACAAAATGACAGGAAGGATTCGAAACCTGCGGGACCAGAGATTTACAGAAGATTGGAAGAAGTATATGAATTATTTGAAGAGCAACTGAAATCAGCAAATTACGCTAGTAGGACTACAAGAAGTTTTGTAAGGAGAAATATACGCAGTGTTACAAAGTAGAAAAAGATAGAGATACTGGTTATGAGTTTGAAATGCAATAGGGAAGATAAGAAATGCATACTGAGAGATTAGATTGGAAAATTTTCAGACAGGATTGATGGAAGTCAGAAATTTGAATAAGATGTAAAAATATGTTTAATTACTGTTGAAAATGATATGTTAAAAAAACTAATAAAAAATTATATTTTAAAAAAATTTAAAAAAAGAAAGGTGAGGATACTTGACCCCCCCTCCTCCTCCTTCTCCAGAAATGTGAAGCCCCTGCCCAGCTGAGTCCTGCAAACACTCACCGAGGCCACGAAGAGGTCGCCGATTTTCTCCGTGGTGTCCCACTCAGCCACGCGCGAAGACAAGGCGATCTGGAACATGGAGTGGCACTGCAGGATCTCTTTGACCCGGAAGAAAACCACCTGGCATTTCCGGAGGCTGAGAACTTTGGGCTCCATCTCTACAAGAGGGTTCCTGTAATCCTGTCAGCAGTGGAGACGGGAAGACACGGAGCCGTGAAAAGAAGGTTGCTCCCTGGCAGAGTATTTGCCTTGAATGCACAAGGTCTCTTTACAGTAACAATATGGAAGCTAAGGTAAAGGGACCCCTGACCATTAGGTCCAGTCGTGACCGACTCTGGGGTTGCAGCGCTCATCTCACTTTATTGGCCGAGGGAGCCGGCATACAGCTTCTGGGTCATGTGGCCAGCATGACTAAGCCGCTTCTGGTGAACCAGAGCAGCGCACGGAAACGCCGTTTACCTTCCCGCCAGAGCGGTACCTATTTATCTACTTGCACTTTGACGTGCTTTCAAACTGCTAGGTTGGCAGGAGCAGGGACCGAGCAACGGGAGCTCACCCCGTTGCAGGGATTCGAACCGCCGACCTTCTGATCGGCAAGTCCTAGGCTCTGTGATTTAACCCACAGTGCCACCCACAAAGCTACTATGTCATTAAATCTCAAACGAAAGGCTTGGACAACAGCCCGGATTGGAATGATTAACAACTTGGGAGTTGATGTGTCATTAAACTTCAGACAACAGGCTTGGACAACAGCCCAGATTGGAAGATTGGAACGGAGTCAGGGAAAGCTGCGCTGGCAAATAGACAGTTGAAAAATATATATACACAAATAAAGCTGTATTCAACGGACGAAAGGAAATATGATTTCTGACATGATTGAGAATCGTAGAGCCAGGGACAGAGAACTTTAAAGCATTTAAACTGGGATGTGGAAAATAGGAAAACAACGAGCAGAGGCAGGACTGAAGATTTGGAGATATGCTTCAGAGGTCCAGACTATGGGGAGCACCAAAAAATTAATAATTACAATTTGGATTATAATTTGGTCTTTTTTATTTTATTTGTTTGTTTTAATTGGATTATGATTGGATATGTTGATTGGCCATTTTTATTGGAAAATTAATAAAAATGATTTTTTTAAAATGCACAAGTTCTCAATTTCCATCGCCCAGCAGCCTCTCCAGGAAAGGCTAGGAATATCTGCTGCCTGTTACCCCAGAGAACTGCTGCGAGTCAGTCAGTCATTCAGTTTTATTGCACATAGCCAAAGGCTGCTGCAATGTACACAGAATCATTTGACAATTAAAAGAAAATATACTGGATTGATACAAAAGACTTAAAACATTTATATTATCAAAACATTATGTACTCTAAACAGAGCTATAAAAGTACCCCAATATACAAATCAAGACATTAAACAATAAAATTCATAAGCTAAAATCATCACATGGCCACTAACATATCAAAAAACAATGTCAATTAATACAGTGTGCAATTTATACTCGGAGTTTGGTGACAAAGATATAGCCTGATGTAGATAGATAGGGTCAAATTCATCTCCTTTACAGTTGATGGCTACCTTGGCTATATAATTTGCTCTAATTTTCCTAGCAGCAGTTGCAAAGAGTGCTACCCGCCAGGTCACATACTTATCTGTGTCTGCAAGGAGATATAAAATCAGTCAGAGGGGCTCTGGCCAGGGGACCTTGTCGTTATAGGTACTAAAAATCTTTCTCTTGCATCATTATATAAGGGACAGTGCAAGATATAATGCATAAGGTCCTCTACTTCAGGACATCCCCTAATGCAAACACGTTTGTTTTTTGGTATGCCTCCGTGTCTCCCATCTCTATAAGCAGAGTTTATTGTATTTAATCGTAACTCTGTAAAAGCTTTCCGAAGTTGTGCAAAAGTCAATTCATTAAAATAAGATGTATGCTCATTGGCCTCTCTAAGTTTAAAATACAATGGGGCGCATGTAGATGCGTACATAGAATTCAGATCGTTTTTAGTTGCCCAGAAGCTTGAGGACCAGAATCTCTCTTTGCTTTTAGTGAAATGGGAAGAGCTCAGAGGACGACTTTTGCTTGTTTGGGGAAGGGAAAGCGATTTCCTGGGGTGTTTTGTTGTTTTTTAAGCTGATCTCCCAAGAAATGTGTGACTTTCCTGGTTTCCTTGACAGGGCTATAGCTAAGTGGGCAGAACAGCTGCTTGGCTTGCAGAAGGCCCCGGGTTCTATCCCCAATGGCATCTTCAGGTAGGGCTAGGAAAGACGCCTTGTCTGAAACCTTGAAGAGCTGCTGCCAGTCAGTGTAGACAATACTAAACTAGGTGGACTGACGGTCTGACTTAATATAAGGTGACATTGTTTAAATCAGCCCTCTATTCAGAATCATGAGAAATAGAAGCTTGCTTTACCTTAATCATGAAAGGGCCAAAGCTCAGTGGTAAAGCCCTTGCCTTGCACTCAGGATGTGCCTGGCCCAGTCCCTGGCAGCATCTCCCACTGGGGTCGGGGATTGTCCCCTGCCCCTGAAACCTTGGAGAGCTGCTGCCAGTCCATGTAGACAACACTGGGCTGGGTGGGCTTGATGGCCTGACTTAGTATATGGCAGCTTTTGCTAAGTTTGTGTTCATGTTTGGTGAGAGGATGGGGGAAGCCGCTCGCTCAGGAGTGGGTGGGTGAGAGCAGGCGGGGACAAAAGGTTGATAAAATAATAATTTTATTATTTATTTGCCACCCATCTGAGTGGCACTCTGGGCAGCTCCCAACCAAGAATTGAAAAGACAGTAAAACACCAAAAATTTCCCTGAACAGGGCTGCCTTCAGATGCCTTCTAAAAGTCAAATAGATGTTTGACATCTCATGGGAGGGCATTCCACAGGGCAGGTGCCACCTCCGAGAAGGCCCTGTGCCTGGTTCCCCGCTCACAAAGCAGAAAGCTCTCTCACCTGCAAGATCCTCCGCAAGGAGTCGACGTAGCTTCTCTCGCTCTGGACGATGGAGCCCAGAATGTGGCGGCGCACAACCTTTAGAGAGGGGGTCGGATTAGGTGCGGGTGACTCAAGAGAGCATCATGGAAGAGAGAGGAAGAACTGCCGGCTGGGGCAGCATGCAGGGACCAAATAGGTCTATTGGACTGATCAGCACTAAAAAGGGTAATGCTTAAATCAAGACAAAGGTGACTACAGGCTTACAGCGCTCATCTCTCTTTCAGGTCGAGGGAGCTGGCGTTTGCCCACAGACAGCTTTCCAGGTCATGTGGCCAGCAGGACTAAACCGCTTCTGGCGCAACGGAAACACCGTGACGGAAACCAGAGTGCATGGAAACTCCGTTTACCTTCCTACCACAGCCGTACCGATTTGTCTACTGGCCTGCTACAGTTGGAGTTCCTCTAAAACCTAAGTGACTTGCCTTTCTATCCAAAACCAACACAATTACGTAATTAATTCAGGATGCTTCGGTAGGAAAGCTGTTATCGTGGCTTCCTCCAATGACTCCTGGGAACAGAAATTTGTTCAGGGGGCTGGGCATCGCTAAGGGAGACCCCTGCTCATGGAGCGACAATTCCCAGAGTTCCACAGGAAGAGGGATTGGTTGTAAGAGAACTCTGGGCATGTGCAGAGTGCCTTATTTTTCTTCAACTCAGGACTCAAGCATGTGTTGCAGAATATGCCAGACTGGTAGGAGCACAGTTCTCTTATTATTTTCCTTTAGAACAGAAGAGTCCTGCTGGATTAGGGCAATAATAATAATAATAATAATAAATTTTATTTATATCCCGCCCTCCCCAGCCGAAGCCGGGCTCAGGGCGGCTAACAACACTAAAATAGTGCAACATTATAAAACATCATAAGAATTAATTAAAATCAAAATTGATGGCAACCATAAACTAAAGTATTGTAAAGATTGCCAAAGGAGGGAGTCAGGCTGTGCCCTAACCAAAGGCCTGGTGGAACAGCTCTGTCTTGCAGGCCCTGCGGAAAGATGTCAAGTCCTGCAGGGCCCTGGTCTCTTGTGACAGAGCGTTCCACCAGGTTGGAGCCACAGCCGAAAAAGCCCTGGCTCTAGTTGAGGCCAGCCTAACCTCTCTGTGGCCTGGGACCTTCAAGATGTTTTTATTTGAGGACCGTAAGTTCCTCTGTGGGGCATACCAGGAGAGGCGGTCCCGTAGATACGAGGGTCCTAGGCCGTGTAGGGCTTTGAAGGTTAAAACCAGCACCTTAAACCTGATCCTGTACTCCACCGGGAGCCAGTGCAGCTGGTATAGCACCGGATGAATGTGATCCCGCAGCGAAGACCCCGTAAGGAGTCTCGCCGCGGCATTCTGCACCCGCTGGAGTTTCTGGGTCAGTCTCAAGGGCAGCCCCACGTAGAGCGAGTTACAATAATCCAGTCTGGAGGTGACCGTCGCGTGGATCACAGTGGCTAGGTCAGGGCGAGAGAGGTAAGGAGCCAACTGCTTAGCTTGGCGGAGATGAAAAAATGCCGCCTTTGTTATAGCTGCAATCTGCGCCTCCATGGAGAGGGAGGTATCGAAGATTACACCCAAACTCTTAACGGACGGTGCTGGCACTAATTGCACCACCGCAAGAGATGGGAGTTGCCCCCTCAATCCCATATCGTCCCGTCCCAGCCAGAGGACCTCTGTCTTCGAAGGATTTAACTTCAACCGGCTCCCACGTAACCATCCAGCCACAGCTTCCAGACATCTGGTCAGTGTGTCTGGGGCCGAGTTAGGATGGCCATCCATCAACAGATAGAGTTGGGTGTCATCAGCATACTGATGGCAGCCCAGCCCAAAACTCCGGACAAGCTGGGCGAGGGGGCGCATAAAGATGTTAAAAAGCATCGGGGAGAGAATCGCACCCTGAGGCACTCCACACACCAAGGAGTGGCGGGATGACAGTTCCCCCCCAAGCGCCACCCTCTGTCCCCGACCAGAGAGAAACGAGCGCAGCCATTGAAGGACTGTGCCCTGGATCCCCACGTCGGCGAGGCGGTGGTCCAGAAGTTCATGATCAACCATGTCGAAAGCTGCTGACAGATCTAGAAGAATCAGCAGCCCCGACCCGCCTCGATCCAGCTGTCTACGAAGATCATCTGTTAGGGCGACCAGAGCCGTCTCGGTCCCATGACCAGCGCGGAAGCCGGACTGGAATGGATCCAGAGCCGATGTTTCATCCAGAAACCTACCAAGCTGTTCAGCAACCGCTCTCTCAATCACCTTACCCAGGAATGGAAGATTCGAAACTGGGCGGTAATTGGATAGATCTAAGGGATCTAATGATGTTTTCTTTAAGAGCGGACGCACCACTGCCTCCTTCAGTTCCCCTGGGAATGTCCCGGTGCCAAGGGACAAATTGATGATATCCCCCAGGGGGGCCCGCACCTCGTCTGGACATGCTCTAATCAGCCAAGACGGGCACGGGTCGAGAGGACAAGTGGTGGGCTTTCCAGCTTGGAGGAATCTGTCCACATCGGCTGGAGATATCCGGTCAAAGTGGTCCAATACTGGACCCGAGGACAGTCGAGGGGCCTCCAGCTCCTTTATTGTATCCAAATTGGCAGGGAGGTCATGGCGGAGCGACAGGACCTTCTCCGCAAAAAAGCTCGCAAATGCCTCACAGCTGTGTGTCGAATTGTTATTTAAATTTGACTGTCCTTCGAGGGACGTTAAAGACCGAATTATACTAAATAATTGTGCCGGGCGAGAGCTAGCGGATGCAATGGAGGCCGAGAAGTAGGACTTCTTAGCGGCCTTCACTGCCATCTCGTAGGTTTTCATAAAAACCCTATAAGATGTTCTTGAGGCTCCGTCATGGGCACCCCGCCATACTCGCTCTAGCCGTCTGAGGTCCCGCTTCATTTTCCGGAGCTCCTCAGTAAACCAGGGAGCCCGGTTTCTGCGGGGTCGCAGAGGGCGCTTAGGTGCGATCTCATCGATGGCTGCCAGGAGCTGGGTATTCCAGCCCTCAACAAGCTCAGTCAATGAGTCGCCAGGGGGAGAAAGGTCCCGCAAGGCTTGACGGAATCTATCAGGGTCCATCAGCCTCTGCGGGCGAGCCCAAATTGGCTCGCCACCTAAGCAGGGTGGGGGTGGAAAGTCAATCCTGGCTTTCAGAGCGTAGTGATCAGACCATGGCACCTTCATCGAAGGAAACATGATCACATCTATACCGACGCCAAAGATCAGATCCAGCGTGTGGCCTGCTTGATGTGTGGCGCCCGAAACAAACTGGGAGAGCCCTAGTGTCGCCATGGAAGACACCAGGTCCAGAGCCTGTGAGGAGGGAGTGGCATCGGCATGGATGTTGAAGTCCCCCAATACCAATAGGTTAGGGAACTCCAAGGCCCAGCCGGCCACCGCCTCCAGCAGGCCTGACAGGGTGGCTGCTGGTGCGCTAGGTGGCCGGTACACCAGCCAGACAGCCAAGCTCTCCTCGGAGCCCCACACTAGGCCAACACATTCAATGCCGGGGATCGATGGCGATGGTAGAGCCCTGAAAGAACAATCTTCCCGGATTAATAATGCCACCCCTCCCCCCCGGCCCACAGTCCGTGACTGGTGGAGGACGGAAAAACCCGGGGGCGCCATCTCTCGTAAGGTAACAGTTACCCCTTCGCGCACCCAGGTCTCCGTCACACAAGCCAGGTCGACCCCCTGCGAGATGATGAAATCTCGCAGGGTGGCGGTTTTGTTGCCTATAGACCTGGCATTGCACAGCACCAGTGACGGAGGTGAGTAATCCTTGCTCACCCTACCCTCGTCTCTCGGGATGGGGCGCAGATTGGAAGGGGTACGAGCATATCCGTATCTCGATCCCCTTCGCCTATGACATCTGCCCCCACCGCCATACCTCCCTCGCCCCTCCACAGTAGGAATCCCAAGCCTATCAAGGACTAATAGCCTATCAAGGACTAATCTATAAAAGGTAAAGGACCCCCTGATGGTTAAGTCCAGTCAAAGGCAACTATGGGGTTGTGGCGCTCATCTCGCTTTCAGTCCAAGGGAGCTGGCGTTTATCCACAGACAGCTTCCCAGGTCCTATGGCCAGCATGACTCAACTGCTTCTGGCGCAACGGGACACCGTGACGGAAGCCAGAGCGCACAGAAATGCCGTTTACCTTCCTGCCACAGCAGTACCTATTTATCTACTTGCACTGGTGTGCTTTCGAACTGCTAGGTTGGCAGGAGCTGGGACAGAGCAATGGGAGCTCACCCCGTCATGGGGATTCGAACCGCCGACCTTCCAATTGGCAAGCCCGAGAGGCTCAGTGGTTTAGACCACAGTGCCACTCGCAGCAGGGGGAGCGGAGGGAGACTCAGGCCCACGGGCCAACTGCGAACCCCGGGGCTCTCTTTTCTGGCCCGCGGGACCCTATCCCAGACCACGCCTCTCACCAGCCCTGTTTCCCACCTTCCTTGAATGCTTTTTCCCTGGCTGCAAAAGGTGCCCTTTAACTCTGATCATGCGTCTAGATTGTAAAAGCCCTTTTTACAAAGGCGAAATGTGCAGGCATTGCTCCACCCATTTCCCCCTCTGGCCCTGCCCACCAGCCGCATGCGGCCCTCGGGTGGCTTCCCAGAAGCAAATGTAGCCCTTGGGCAGATGCTCTAGCACTGAGCTACATTTCAGGGTCTCTGCAAAAGCCAGAGTTTCCCCCAAAGCAGCCAAGGTGGGTGCTGCTTCCCCTCCCTCGAGGTGCTCCATCGCTTAAGAATGAGCCACTTTTCCAAGCACTCACCTGCTGAGGGCTTAACCCTTCGGGCATCGGGCCCAACTCGGGAAACAGGTGCTTCAAATCATTCACCGGGACCTCCAGGAATCCCATTTCCTCCTCTTCGGAATCGCCTGGAGGGGACGCATGCAGACACAAGATTCACACAAGGTCATCTCCAGGGCTACTGGCCCTTGCAGGGAGAAACACAACACAATGCGCTGGAAGAATGTTATTGTGGGCAGCCAGGAACAACAAAGCAACAGGGAATATGGAACGGGCATATTCAGACCACCAGCCAAAACGTGGAATTAGGAAGATGAATTTTGCTTCCCCCAGAGGATTCAACACACACTTTCAGGATTGCCAGTCCAGCAACACACCCTTAAAGATTCAGCTGCCGACATCAAAGCATTGCTTTTAAGGTTTCTAGTCCTCATGGAAGCCTCATGCTCTTTAAAGGGGCTCAGGAAAGAGCCTGCGAGTTGTATCCCACTAAATCCTTCCAGGGTGGCCCCACTGAAACGAAGGGACCCAGATTAGCCATGTCTGTTAATTGGGTTTAATATGACTCCCTGTGCCCTTTTCTTTAAAAGATCCTATTCCTTGTTCAACTCTCCTCTCAGAGCCTGCTAGGGACCTCTTGAAAACAACCCTCTATATTTGACACAGAATTCTGCATCCTGGAGCTTTCGCAACCATGTACCCAAAGCAGCTCAAAAGTCCAGAGAAGTAATGCCCCCAAACGAATCATCTCAGCACAACCGTACAAGTTCCAAGCTTCCAAGATGCTTTGTAGACGGAGCCAAAATGATAGCGTCATCCCTTTATTTCCGACGATAGCCACTCCCATCATCGCATCATCACAGGACACCTCGCAGCAGGAGGCAGGCGTTTCTGTCCTCCACGATATCATCACAGCCCATTCCTGCCGCATCTTCCAGAACCCAAAGCTCTGCATTTCGCCTCCCTCTGTTGCATTTACCTTCCTACCAACTCAGGGGGCCGATGGAGCTTTTGCCCAGATCTCAACCCCACAAGGGAAGCTTCAGACCCTCCAAGTGTCCCTATTTTCCAGGGGCAGTCCTGGGTTTACAGAAGCCGTCCCAGTTTCTGATTTAATCCCAGAATGTCCTGCTTTTCCTTAAAGGTAAAGGTAAAGGGACCCCTGACTGGTCATGTGGCCAGCATGACTAAGCCGCTTCTGGCAAACCAGAGCAGCGCACGGAAATGCCATTTACCTTCCCACTGGAGCGGTACCTATTTATCTACTTGCACTATGATGTGCTTTCGAACTACTAGGTTGGCAGGAGCTGGGACTGAGCAACGGGAGTTCACCCCGTCATGGGGATTCAAACCAACAACCTTCTGATTGGCAAGCCCTAGGTTCAGTGATTTAGACCACAGTGCCACCCGCATCCCTTTGCTTTTCCTTAGGGTGTCCCTATTTCCATCGGAGAAATTTTGCAGGGTATGGAATTATATGACCCCCTGAGCCAAGGAGATAAGTAACTATGCAAGCTTTAGAAGACATCTGAAGGCAGCCCTAGATAGGGAAGTTTTTAAATGTTTTATTATATATGTTGGAAGCCACCCAGAGCAGCTGGGGCAACCCAGTAAGATGAGCAGGGTACAAATAATAAAATTATTGTTATTATTATGGAACAGGACGTCCCTATTCTCATTGGAGAAATGTTGGCAGGTGTGAAGGTGGCTCCAGCCTGCTCTGGGGTCAAGGGTCAGCCTGCCAGGCTGAACATGCGCAGATAGCATTTCCCTTCACTGCTTGGGAAGTCGCAACTCCCCAGTTCCCCCAACCATGGGAATGGGAAATCAGAATGCCCTCAGAAGGATACAGCAAATGGCAAGGGAGAAAAGGTTTGAGTATACAAGCAACTGGCTTTAACCACCTCCGCTTTTTAAAACCATAGAATTCTAGAGTTGGAAGGGACTCCCCAAGATTAATCTAGTCCATGAGTAGGCAAACTAAGGCCCGGGGGACCGGATCCGGCCCAATCGCCTTCTAAATCTGGCCCGCGGACGGTCCGGGAATCAGCATGTTTTGACATGAGTAGAATGTGTCCTTTTATTTAAAATGCATCTCTGGGTTATTTGTGGGGCCTGCCTGGTGTTTTAACATGAGTAGAATGTGTGCTTTCATTTAAAAAGCACCTCTGGGGTATTTGTGGGGCATAGGAATTCCTTCATTTTTCCTCCCAAAATATAGTCCGGCCCCCCGCAAGGTCTGAGGGAGAGTGGACTGGCCCCTGCTGGAAATGTTTGCTGACCCCTGATTCCACTCCAACCCCCTGCAATGCAGGAATCTCAGCTAAAGCATCCATGACATAAGAAGATGAGAAAACCACCTTCCCGTCCCAGACCCCGACAGCCAGCAAAACCTGCCTGCTGAGTCATCTCTGAGCGGCACATGACAAAACCCAGATTTATTTTTATTTTCTTCAGGGGTGCCAGAGAGGGGTAAACCTCAGGAGCACCTCTGAGCTTGGCTCTTTGCTGAAGGAGGAAGCCTGAGTCAAACATAAATAAATGCAAGGGGCCTTACCTGAAAGAGACGAAGAGGAGGAGGAGGAGGAGGAAGAGGAACGGATGATGATGAAGTCCCGGTTGGACCGGTGCCGTTTACGCCACATCTCACCCTTCAGAGGTGCCGCTCGCCCGACCCTCCACCCCGTCCCACCAAACCCTCTAGCCAGCCTCGACTGACTGTCCCCAAACTTCCTCTTTCTCCGAGCTCAGGGCAATCTCTAGTTCCCACTCGCGTGCGGGGAGATCTTGGCAAAGGGGTCTCCGGCAGCGGAAAGGTTGCATCGCAGCCAGCTGCAAGGAGGAGCTGGCAAATGAGAAGGGGCGGAGGGCAAAAGAAGGAAGAGCAGCGGAGGGTGTTAGCTGCCCAGGGAGGGGTGGGGATCGGAGGGCACCAGAAATAGACCAGCAAAGGGTGACCTTTTCCTTCCCTAATTTTGGAACAGCTGCTCTGCTGGGACAGCAGCCATGCGGGGAGGAAGGGTTCGGGACGGAAACAGCCAGAGGGGCAGGCAGGGAAAGTGCTGGGCTGGAGGGGGGCATGAATGGAGAACCTCGCAACCCCCACCAGCAGAGGAAAATATTTTGGAGAGGGACAAACCAGCAGACCCACCCAACGCATTGAAGGTAGCAAAAATCGCATCGGCGGCTAAATTACCTTCTGCCAAAGACACGGTCAGTTTGCAAAATTGAGGTTCCCTACGAGGACCCGAGGCGTTTGGACCAGATGACCCCTAAGGTCCCCCCCTTTCCAATTGTCCAGCTCTATGCTTCAGGGGACGCGGGTGGTGCTGTCAGTTAAACCACAGAGCCTAGGACTGGCCGATCAGAAGATCGGCGGTTCGAATCCCTGCGACTGGGTGAGCTCCCATTGCTTGGTCCCTGCTCCTGCCAACCTAGCAGTTCGAAAGCATGTCAAAGTGCAAGTAGATAAATAGGTACCACTCCAGCAGGAAGGTAAACGGTGTTTCCGTGCGCTGCTCTGGTTCGCCAGAAGTGGCTTAGTCCTGCTGGCCACATGACCCGGAAGCTGTACACCGGCTCCCTAGGCCAATAAAGCGAGATGAGTGCTGCAACCCCAGAGTCAGTCACGACTGGACCTAATGGTCAGGGGTCCCTTAACCTTTACGCTTCTGTTATTTTCTGCCCTCCAAATGCAACGGGGTATTAAATGCAACTGCATTCTGAAGACCCCCCCACCTGTCTTCTACAACTAAAAACAATAAAAATAATGGAAGGTGCATAGGTGAAGGAGGAGCCTGCAAGCTCTTAAAATTAACCCCCAGAAATCATTTCCTAATGGAGCATGTGACAGAAGTTGAATAGAAGAAGGGGTGTAACTCAGGGCTGGAGCACTTGCTTGGCATGCAGAAGGACCCAGGTTCAATCCCTGGCGGCATCTCCAGGTAGACCTGGGACATGGGGGGAGCCTGCCTCAAACCCTGGAGAGCTGCTGCCAGCCAGTGCTGACCACTGTTCTGACAGCTTCCTCTCTTTCTGTTGAAACGAGGCCTTTAATCCAAAGCAGGCTGACCCCTGACTCCAGAGCAGGCTGGAGCAACTTTCATAAAAGGTAAAGGGACCCCTGACCATTAGGTCCAGTCGTGGCTGACTCTGGGGTTGCAGCGCTCATCTCGCTTTATTAGCCGAGGGAGCCGGCGTACAGCTTCTGGGTCATGTGGCCAGCATGACTAAGCCGCTTCTGGTGAACCAGAGCAGCGCACAGAAATGCCGTTTACCTTCCCGCCAGAGCGGTACCTATTTATCTATTTGCACTTTGACGTGCTTTCGAACTGCTAGGTTGGCAGGAGCAGGGACCAAGCAACGGGAGCTCACCCCGTCACGGGGATTCGAACCGCCGACCTTCTGATCAGTAAGTCCTAGGCTCTGTGGTTTAACCCACAGCACCACCTGCGTCCCTTGGAGCAACTTTCATACCTGCCAACATTTCTCCGATGAGAATAGGGACATCCTATTCAATAATAATAATAATTCTATTTGTACCCCACCCATCTGACTGGGTTGCCTGAGCCACTCTGGGCGGCTTCCAACATACAGTGGTACCTTGGTTCTCAAACTTAATCCGTTCTTGGGGTCCATTTGACTCTCAAAACCATTTGAAAACCAAGGCACAGCTTCCGATTGGCTGCAAGAGCTTCCTGCGGAAGCGGAAGGTGTGTCGGACATTCAACTTCCAAAAAACGTTTGCAAACCGGAACACTTACTTCTGGGTTTGCGGCATTTGGGAGCCAATTTGTTCGGCAACTAAGCAGTTCGAGAACCAAGGTACCACTGTGTATAAAAACATAATAAAACATTAAACGTTTTTTTAAAACTTCCGTATACAGAGCTAATCCCTTCATATGTCTTAAAAGGTTGTATCTCCTTGGCTCAGGGGTCGGACAACTCCATACCCATTTCTATGATGAAAATAGGGACGTGCTAAGGAAAAGCGGGACATTCCAGGATCAAATCCGAAACCAGGACGGCTTCTGCAAATCTGGGACTGCCTCTCGATAATAGGAACACTTGGAGGGTCCAGAAACAGCAAAGGAAAAAAGGCAGGCAAGTCCTTGCCCCGAAGATCTGACATTCCAAAATCCGAAGGCTGTCACAGCAGTGAACTACGGAAAGCAAGGGTTGGCACATCAACAAAGACCATGAGCTCTAGCCACAGGTGTGCCTCTATGCAGCGGCTGGCACAAGCAACTACGAGGTCCCCCCCCCCTTCAACTAGAAGGCACAACCAGATCTGCGCACAGTAAGCAAGGGTTCAAGCTCACTCGCCACTGCCTGGTACATGAGATGGAGAGGTGCTGGGGCCCTCAGTGTCGCTGGGAAGCCACACTCCCCAACAACAAAGCCCACTCTCTTTTAGAATCACAGAATTGCAGCATCGGAAGGGACCCCCAAAAGGTCCGCATCTGTAAGACCTCGATTATTCTGTGTGGCAGCATCTACACTTCGGAACTCCCTGCCTATTGAGAACAAGCAGAAGGCTTCCCTGCAGCACACTTTTAGGTGCCTGCCAAAAGCATTCTTGTTCAGTCAGGCCCGTGCGTATATATGCTTAGAAAGTTGAGGTGATCATTAAATCTGCTTTGGTATTTTAAATTTTTGCAAGTTTTAAAGTTCCATGGGGAAGGCTTAGCAACACAACTACACAATTAAAGTTTTAAAGTTAAAAGTAATAACTGAAATGCAATAAATGCCTTCTGCGCCCTAAAACATTTCCATTCTGCCAGGGCTATCGCAGGTGATTAAGAATACAGCACATCCTTCCAAAATGGTTTCAAAGATCCTGGTTTTTAACTTTTTTTTTATACGCTCTCTAAAGCAGGGCTTCATGTTCTTATTTACTGTAAACCTCTTTGTTTGGGGTTTTTTTAAAATGATGATAATAATAATAATAATAATAATAATAATAATAATTTATTTAAATCCCACCCTCCCCAGCCGAAGCCGGGCTCAGAGCGGCTACCAACAGTAAAATAATACAGCATTCTAAAATCATTTCATTATAAAATCAGTTCAAATCAAATTAATGGCAACCATTGGGCTAGAGTTCTGTGAGGCTTGCCAAAGGAGGGAGTCAGGCTGTGCCCTGGCCAAAGGCCTGGTGGAACAGCTCCGTCTTGCAGGCCCTGCGGAAAGATGTCAAGTCCCGCAGGGCCCTAGACTCTTGTGACAGAGTGTTCCACCAGATCGGAGCCACAGCCGAAAAAGCCCTGGCTCTAGTTGAGGCCAGCCTAACCTCCCTGTGGCCCGGGACCTCCAAGATGTTTTTGTTTGAAGACCGTAAGTTCCTCTGTGGGACATACCAGGAGAGGCGGTCCCGTAGGTACGAGGGTCCTAGGCCGTATAGGGCTTTAAAGGTTAAAACCAGCACATTAAATCTGATCCTGTACTCCACCGGGAGCCAGTGCAGCTGGTATAGTACCAGGTGAATGTGATCCCGCAGCAAGGGACCCCGTAAGAAGCCTCGCTGCGGCATTCTGTACCCGCTGGAGTTTCTGGGTCAGTCTCAAGGGCAGCCCCATGTAGAGCGAGTTACAATAATCCAGTCTGGAGGTGACCGTCGCGTGGATCACAGTGGCTAGGTCAGGGCGAGAGAGATAAGGGGCCAACTGCTTAGCTTGGCGGAGATGAAAAAATGCCGCCTTTGTTATAGCTGCAATCTGTGCCTCCATGGAAAGGGAGGTGTCGAAGATAGTAGTATGGAAATATTTTTTTATAAACAAAATAAATACAGAGGGTCTCTGAGGGACACGGGTGGCGCTGTGGGTAAAAGCCTCAGCGCCTAGGGCTTGCCGATCGAAAGGTCGGCGGTTCGAATCCCCGCGGCGGGGTGCGCTCCCGCTGCTCGGTCCCAGCGCCTGCCAACCTAGCTGTTCGAAAGCACCCCGGGTGCAAGTAGATAAATAGGGACCGCTTACCAGCGGGAAGGTAAACGGCGTTCCCTGTGCTGCGCTGGCTCGCCAGATGCAGCTTGTCACGCTGGCCACGTGACCCGGAAGTGTCTCCGGACAGCGCTGGCCCCCGGCCTCTTGAGTGAGATGGGCGCACAACCCTAGAGTCTGTCAAGACTGGCCCGTACGGGCAGGGGTACCTTTACCTTTACCTTTACCTGAGGACACACAGAGTGCATTTGCTCTAGGCCACTAGTTGCAATGTGTTCTGGCTGCGGGAGGTCGAAGCGGTCCTCTGTGTTTGTGTACGTGGTGGGGAGCAGGGCTTCCAGATTCCCCCCCCATAGCAACACCGCCCTGCTTTTGGCAGCCTCTGCAAAAACAACAGCACTCTCGAGCATGTGCAAAGCATGCGGGTTCCGGGGGGGGCAACCCCCAGCAAGGCCCTCTTCACTAGCAGAGGCAAGCTAAGACACAGAAGCTCACACACTACAAAACTCCACTGCAAATCATGCTACCTCGTCTCGAATGGAGACAGGATCCGGGAGGGCAAGAGGCCCCCAGATCCGTACCTCTGTCCACGGACAGCTTGTGGGCTTTGGAGAGCTCCCCAGTCCAGGACAAAGAGCGCTTCCTGCCTGGCTCCATGGCGCTCCTGCCTGGCTCTCCGTCCGCTACAGCCAGGGAAACATCACAGGAAAGACAGAAAGAAAATACTGTGTTTACTCTCCTCTCCCCTTCCTTACGTGGCCAGACATGCTTGCTAACTTCAGGGAAGTTCTCTCAACAGCCACCGGGAGGGGGGGCAGCAAGCCCAAAGGGATTCTTGCCCCCCACCCCAAACCAGCAAAGGACAAAGTGGGTGCTTGTCTCGCACCAGCCGTAGCTGCGTTCCAGTTGCATATACAGTATATGCATGTATTTGCCCTGGTTAAGTCAGTGAAGCTACAAGAGGAAAGAAACATGAAAAACCAAAGCAAGTTCCGCTTGTTCCCTGTTGTTCGTTTTGCCCAAGTCAGCAGATCCTGCAAGGAGGCAGACCCCCCAGGGATGTTTCGTAACTGCCCAGAGAGGGAAGTGGGGTTTTGTGGCCTCAGAGGCCCTGCGGCTGGGAATCCTCCTTGTGAACTCAGCGTGGCACACGCAAGCGAAGAGATTGCTGTACTTTCCGTGTGTGTGTGTGTGCGCGCGCGCGCATGAGAGAGACAGACAAACAAACAAACAAACAGACAGACAGAATTGGGGCAAGCAGCTGATATGAGCCCCATCTGCACCATGCAGCAAATAAACCTGTTGTTTGTTTGTTTGTTTGTTTGTTTGTGATTGTTTGTTTTTATTAAAGATTTCCTTGTGAAACAAACAATATTTTTTTTTAAAAAAAAAAGCTACTTTACGTGTGATTTAGTTACACGGCTGCAGCTTTGCACAGATGCTGGGAAAATAAATGAATGAACACAGAGTCATTTGAGGGGTGAGGAACAGTCAGAAGAGACTGTCCGAGACGACATGTAAGCTTCCTGGAACCAAGGATGGCAGAGGGCTTAAAAGGCACTTTCTGCGCTGGATTTTGCTGCTGCTAAAAGAGCTTTATAAGCCCTCTACTAGGCTCTGGGAAGGTTGCATGAGGCTTCTGGAAGGCTGCATAGGATTCCAGTAAAATCTCGCAGGTAAGATAGGTAGAGTCATGCGGGAGAGGTTCTGGGGGGGTGGTGCTCTTCCTGACTTTCCGCGCTTTGGCCTTTGCCCGGACGTAACCCCCATGTAAGTTGTGGGCCTACCAAAGGTGTCGTGGGCTTTGAAGTCGAACTCGGAACAAAAGGGAGAAACAGGCGAAGAGGAAGGCACGTTTGGCAAACGCTCACCGTGATCCACTCCCACCCATAACCTATGTCCCCACTGTGGAAGGACATGTGGATCCGGAATTGGCCTCAACGGCCACTTACGGACTCACTTTTAAACCATGTTTATGGAAGACAATCATACCCGGCTACGAGGGATCACGAAAGAAAGAAAGAAAGAAAGAAAGAAAGAAAGAAAGAAAGAAAGAAAGAAAGAAAGAAAGAAAGCCACTGAAATTCATGTGGATCCTCTGGTAATATCAATGAGTAAAACTTAGTTGACCCTCCCAGACATGCAGGCCTCACAGTGGTGCCAGAGTGTGGGCTGCCAAGCCAGGAATCACCATGATCAACTCCTGCCCGGAAACCTAGGTCCCCACAGTGGCAGTGCTCCCTGCTTCAGCACCGGGAGCGGCGTACATCCTGGGGCGTGCGCGGCAAGTGGCGCAAGTCCCAGGGGTCCGCAGCAAGCAGCGAGTGTCTTGGGGGGGTAGCGAGCACTGAGCGTCCTGGGGGGCAGGGGTGGCCGCACACGCACACAAACGGGATGGCACCCAGGGTGGGCTGCTTCCCCCGCCCCCACCTTCGTCCGCCAGTGGGTCTCCACTGTGGAAGGACGTGCGGATCCAGAATTGGCCTCCACAGTCACTTATGGACTCACTGTTAAAACCGTGTTTATGGAAGACAATCTTACTCGGCTATGAGGGATTGCAGAAGAAGAAGAAGAAGAAGAAGAAGAAGAAGAAGAAGAGGAGGAGGAGGAGGAGGAGGAAGAAGGTACATTTAAAGCCCTACAGCACCACCAGTGATTTTCTTCTCAGGGGGAAAAGGTGCCGTTACTGCGTACGCTTGAGTACCGCCAGAAAAAAACCATTGCTTTAAACAGCCACGGCTTCCCCTAAAGATGATGAGAGAAGGCAGAACGGATAGGCACCTACTTTGCCTCTGTCTTAACCCAAAGGGAAAGCAATGCCCAACCTGGTGATAACATAATAAAGGATGCAAGCAAAGGGCTATAGCCCAAGATAGGAAAAGAAGTAGTAAGGGAACACCTAGCTATGAATTCAAATCTCCAGGGCCTTGAGCTGCACCCAAGGGTACGAAAAGGAGCTCGCAGATGTAATCTCAGAGCCTTTGACAATTCTGGGAGAAGGTGCAAGATCCCTGCAGACTGGAGGTGGGGAAATGCCGTCCCCATCGGACAGAAGACCCAGGCAGACGGGCCAAACCCAAAGCATGCTCGCCAAGGGTGCCTCATCATCGAGGGAAGAGAAAAGCAAAACCACCTCAGCCTCTTTGGAAGAAAGGGGGATATAAAACGTAGCAAGAAGAAACATAATAAATATGTTCCCTCGACACATTTAGCAAACGTCAAGGGCCAGAGGGATTCGTAAGACGGTGTAGGATAATGCAAGATTTTTAGTTTTTTAAAAAAGCCTTTACAGTGGTACCTCGGGTTACAGACGCTTCAGGTTACAGACGCTTCAGGTTACAGACTCCGCTAACCCAGAAATAGTACCTCGGGTTCTGAACTTTGCTTCAGGATGAGAACAGAAATTGTGCTCCGGTTGTGCGGCAGCAGCAGGAGGCCCCATTAGCTAAAGTGGTGCTTCAGGTTAAGAACAATTTCAGGTTAAGAACGGACCTCCGGAACAAATTAAGTACTTAACCTGAGGTACCACTGTACAGTCATACCTCAGGTTAAATATGCTTCAGATTGAGCATTTTCAGGTTACGCTCTGCGGCCACCCGGAAGTAACGAAACGCATTACTTCCGGGTTTCGGCACTCGCGCATGCACAGACGCTCAAAATGACGTCACGTGCATGCGCGGAAGCAGTGAAACGTGAGCCGCGCACACGGAGTCGCGTGTTACGTTCTACTCAGGATGCGGATGGGGCTCCAGAATGGATCCCATTTGCATCCAGAGGTACCACTGTACAGCTACAACCATGGTGCTAGACACTCATTCCCTAAGTAGGACAGTGGATTTTTATTTTATTTTTAGGTACAGGGGTGTGTGCAGTGGCGGAGCTTCATGCTCCGGCACCGGGGGACAGAGAGCTGGGGCTGGCGTGCATCCCAGGGGTGTGGCACGCCACCTGTGGGAGCATGGCGCCCAGCACGGGCGTGGGGGCAGCCACGATGGGACCCCACCAGGATCACACTGCCGGGGGCAGTGCGCTCCCCCCACACTCCTCTTCCTCCACCAGTGGGTGGGTGTGCTGAGTTCATGCCCAAAGAGCTTCTCTTTAGACACCCCATGGCTCCATGGGTGTAGCTGCCCCACCCCACCCCCGAAGTAAATAAACAAAAATACCGTATTTTTCGCTCTATAAGACACACCAGACCACAAGACGCACCTAGTTTTGGGAGGAGGAAAACAAGAAAAAAAATATTCTGAATCTCAGAAGCCAGAACAGCAAGAGGGATCGCTGCGCAATGAAAGCAGCAATCCCTCTTGCTGTTGTGGCTTCTGTGATAGCTGCGCAGCCTGCATTCGCTCCATAAGACGCACACACATTTCCCCTTACTTTTTAGGAGGGAAAAAGTGAGTCTTATAGGGCAAAAAATACGGTACTTAACTAACCGATCAATCGTGTAGCAGATAACTCAGTCCTGCCCCCTTTCTAACATGAATCCTGCCCTCCCTAACATAAACCCTGACGACGCCCGTGCATGAGTCTTATGCTATTTTTAAGAGCAGGATGTTTTGCTGCAGCAGAAGCCACATGACAAGAACCATTACTGTGACGTGCGCACACACCAAAATTCATCGTCCTCTCTGCGGCGCACGGGAGTTTTTCTCAGTGACTCAATGGAAGCGGTTGTGATGGAGACAGAAGCAGGATGTGAATGTATGACTCAACCTCTGAAGTGAAACGAAAGGGAAAGTGTCTGGGAATTCCAGACGGGGAAAGAACAAACCTGAGAAACTTAAGAAGAGCTTTGCCACCGGATCAGGCCAGCAACTTGTTCCCACGGTGGCCAACTAGGTTTCCCCAATGAGACCTGAGGACAACAGCAACACTCCCCAGTTGCGATTCCCAGCAATGGTAGCCATTATTATTATTATTACACTGGTACCCCGCAAGACGAACGCCTCGGAAGACGAAAAACTCGCTAGACGAAGGAGTTTTTCGTTTTCTTAGCCGTTTCGCAAGACGCATTTCCCTATGGGCTTGCTTCGCAAAACGAAGCTTGCCCCGCAAGCTCCGGGGATAGCGGGGAAGCGCAGCGCGTCTTCCCCGCTGTCCCCGGACCTCTTTTGAAGCAAGGGGCGGCGGGGAGAAGATCGCTTCTCCCCGTTGCCAGCCCCGCAATCTCCGGGGACAGAGGGGAAGCGCCGCGCGCCTTCCCCTCTCTCCCCGGACCCCTTTTGAACCAAGGGGCGGCAACGGGGAGAAGCGATTCTCCCCGCTGCCCCTTCCCTTGCTTTAAAACAGGTCCGGGGACAGAGGGGAAGGCGCGCGGCGCTTCCCCTCTGTCCCCGGACGGTCTCCATAGGAACGCATTGATTGATTTTCAATGCATTCCTATGGGAAACCGTGCTTCGCAAGACAAAAAACTTGCAAGAAGAAAAAACTTGCGGAACGAATTAATTTCGTCTTGCGAGGCACTACTGTATTATTATTATTATTATTTATTAAATTTGTATACAGTGGTAACCTTGGGTTAAGTACTTAATTCGTTCCGAAGGTCCTTTCTTAACCTGAAACTGTTCTTAACCTGAAGCACCACTTTAGCTAATGGGGCCTCCCGCTGCCGCCCGCGCACGTTCTGTTCTCATCCTGAAGCAAAGTTCTTAACCCAAGGTATTATTTCTGGGTTAGCGGAGTCTGTAACCTGAAGCGTCTGTAACCTGAAGCATCTGTAACCCGAGGTACCACTGTACCGCCTTATACTCGCAGGTCTCAAGGTGGTTACAACATAAAATCGCAATATAAAAATACCAAATACATAATAAAAATAATAGCAAAACTATGCAATAATTCCCCCCCCCAACACATTTTAAAAGGACATTGGATGTCAATCAGCCAAAGTCCTAGTTAAAAAGGAACGTTTTTGCCTGACGCCTAAAGCTGTATAATGAAGGCGCCAGGCGAACTTCCCTGGGGAGAGCATTCCACAGACGGGGGGCCGCTGCAGAAAAGGCCCCGTTCTTGTGTTGCCACCCTCTGGACCTCTAGAGGAGGAGGCACATGAAGAAGGGCCTCAGAAGATCTCAGGGCCTGGGTATGTTCATATGATGTTAATATTGTTTTATAGATATGAATGCTGTCGTACTTTGTGAATCCTATAATACGATCTTTGGTGTAACTGTGATGTTTAGCTTATTTTTTTAGGGTTTTTTTTTGCTAATAGCGTTACACAGATGGTAATTGTTTTATTTGGGATTTGGGATTGTTTTACTGATGATCTGTTATGTTTTCCATACCATTTACGCTGTATTCGTGATGTTCCATTATCTTATTTTTATCTGTTGTTTATAAGCCACTTTGGGATTTATTTGAATAAATAAAAAGTGGCATAGAAATAGAATACAGTGGTACATCGGATTAAGAACTTAATTCGTTCCGAAGGTCCTTTCTTAACCTGAAACTGTTCTTAACCTGAAGCACCACTTTAGCTAATGGGACCTCCCACTGCCGCCACGCCACCGCCGCACGATTTCTGTTCTCATCCTGAAGCAAAGTTCTTAACCCAAGATACTATTTCTGGTTTAGTAGAGTCTGTAACCTGAAGCGTTTGTAACCTGAAGCATATGTCACCTGTAATAGAATAGAAATGGAGAGGGGCGGTTCTTGAGGCACTGCGGTCCTGAGCCATCCGTGGAGGGAGAGCATAGCCATCGTGGTTTGTGGCCTCTGAGCATCCCGTCCTCCATCAGGGAGACAGAGCGTGCCAAGTTTCTTGGGAAGAAGCCATGGCTAGGCATCAAAATGGGTGGAAAGTTCATTCAGGATAGGGAAAGGAGAGCCTTTCCTGAAGGCATCCGATTGGTTAGCATGGGGGAAAGGATTCTGGACTGGAGAGGTCTTTGCTGCGATCCAGCAGGGTTCTCGGGTCCTTTGCACTAAGTCACCCAAGAAAGCACGGCTAACACTAACAGAAAGAAATGTTACCTGGAACATCCTTCCTGTTCAAGAAAGTCCTCATGACGGCGATCTTGGTCTTCTCGAGGCCATCCTTCGTGCCACTCTTGGCCGCTTTCATCAGCTGGGTCATCTGCGAGGAACCAGGTGCAGAAGGAGAGAAATCAGCACAAGAACGTAAGGAGAACCTGGGCCGGATCATGCCCAGCGCCCATCTCATCCAGCAATCAACTTCTTTTCAAAAAATTTCACAATTCAAAGTGTTGGTGCTGACCTTACAAGCCCTAAACCAGGCTTCCACAAACTTTAGGGAAGTTTTTTATGTTTAGGGAAGTTTTTTATGTTTGATGTTTTCTCGTGTTTTTAATATTCTGTTTGGAGCTGCCCAGAGTGGCTGGGGAAACCCAGCCAGATGGGCGGAGTATAAATAAATACATTATTATTATTATTATTATTATTATTATTATTATTATTATTATTATTGCAGCGGTCACACAGACGCCACAAAGGGTATCCTGCAAGTGGGATTTGAGCACAAGAGCCTTTTCCTCCTCTGGTGGTCTCCAGCAACTGGGATTCAGAAGCATAGCTGCCGCCACCTGTGGATCAGGCCGTTGGCCCATCTAGCAGAGCATCCTGTTCTCACAGGTGGTTGCAGGAAGCCCAAGAGGCAGGCATGAGGGCGGCAGCGCTCTGCCACTGTTACTCATAAGAAGAGCCAGTGCAGATGGAAGAGGTCGATGGCCTGTCGGGTCCCTCTCAGCCTGTTCTCATGGTTTGTCAACCGGATGCCCGTTGGGAAATCTGAAAGCAGGATTCGAACGCAAAATCAAACTCTCTCCTCCTGCAGCCTCGTGACCCGGAAGTGTCTCCGGACAGCGCTGGCCCCCGGCCTCTTGAGTGAGATGGGCGCACAACCCTAGAGTCTGTCAAGACTGGCCCGTACGGGCAGGGGTACCTTTACCTTTACCTTTAAAGGACCCCTGGACGGTTAAGTCCAGTCAAAGGCGATTATGGGGTTGCGGCGCTCATCTCGCTTTCAGTCCGAGGGAACCGTCATTTCGCCACAGACAGCTTTCCGGGTCATGTGGCCAGCAGGACTAAACCGCTTCTGGTGCAACAGAACACCGTGACGGAAACCAGATCGCATGGAAACGCCGTTTACCTTCCCACTGCAGTGGCAGTGGTACCTATTTATCTACTTGCTCTGGTGTGCTTTCAAACTGCTAGTAGCTGGGACAGAGCAATGGGAGCTTGGGGATTCGAACCGCCAACCTTCTGATTGGCAAGCCCAAGAGGCTCAGTGGTTTAGACCACAGCGCCACCCGCGTCTGCAGCCCACATATTGCAAAACGACACAGGGTTGTTGTTGTTTTAAAGCACCTTTCTACTAAATACAGTGGTTTAAAATACTTGCCAAGACTTTATACACTAGCTTGGATTTATAATTGGGGGGGGGCATCTCCCAGGTTGCCCGCCCTGCCCCCTTTATTTCTGATGGGTGGCTCATAGGAATAAACAGGGCAACAAAGGAGCAGGGAATATAAAGCAAGTTCAGCTTTCGTAGGGAATCTGTGTTTTTGCCTTGAGCTCCGATCATGCCTCTTGCTTGCTTGGGCATCAGGGCCAGAGAGACAGTTGTGTGCGTGTGCTTCGAAACAAGCCAAGTGGTGCAGTGGTTAGAGTGCTGGACTTGGACCTGGGAGAGCAGAGTTCGAATCCCCACTGGGATAAAGCTCACTGGCGACCTTGGGGGGGGGGGCAGTCACTGCCTCGCAGCCTAACCTACCTCGCAGGATTTTTAAATAGGTCCATATTTTTTGATGTTACCCATATCCCCAAATACTTAACTTTCCTGGTCACCTCTATCTCTGTTGCATTTTGTAATTCTTCAACTTTATCTGTCTCCATATTCTTTACAATGATTTTTGTTTTCTTTTTATTTACTTTAAAGCCGGCTACTTTCCCAAATTGATCGAATTCTTCAAGTACCTCCTTTGTTGAATTTATTGGGTCCTCCATTGTAATGACCAGATCATCCGCGAACGCCTTCGTTTTATATTCATTCTGCCCAACTGATATCCCTTTTATCCCTCTGTTTCCTCTTATTGAATTTAATAGAACTTCTAACACCATAATGAATAACAGTGGGGACAGCGGGCATCCTTGCCTTGTTCCTTTTGCTATTCTCATTTCTGAGGTCTCCACACCGTTTATTATCAGTTTTGCTTTCTGTTCCGTATAGATTGCCTTCACCCCATTGTAAAACTTAGTACCAACCTCCATGAATTCCAGTTGTTTCAGCATGAAGTCCCAAATTAAGTTGTCGAATGCTTTCTCAGCATCCACAAACAACAACATGGCTTGTTTGTCACATCTGTCTGATAGGTATTCTATAATGTTTACTACATTCCTTATGTTATCCTTCATATACCTACCCGGCAAAAAGCCGGCTTGGTCTTTGTGTATGCTTTTTATCAATATCTTTTTCAGTCTCCTTGCTAGAATTCCCGCAAAGATCTTATAATCCAAATTCAATAAGGAGATCGGTCTGTAGTTTTTTACCTGTTGTAAATCTGAGTGCTGTTTGGGTATTAGAGTAATTAGCGCCTCCTTCCATGTCTCTGGAAGTTCTCTTTCTTTAAGAATATTATTCATCACTTCTTGCAATGGAATCAACAAAATTGTCTCCATTTCTTTATAGTAACTACCGGTAAACCCGTCTGGGCCTGGCGCTTTCCCTTTTTTTAAATCCTTTATTATTTCTTTAATTTCGTCAGTCTCTATTAGGGCATTCAAGCTTTCTTTCTCCAGTAACGGAATCTTTTGAATATTCTTCCCTTTTAGATATTTTTCTATTTTCCTCAGATTGTTCTTTTCGCTATTTTTGTAGAGTCCTCTGTAAAAGTCCAGAAAGGCCTTTCTTATTTCTTTGGGGTTACTTTTCACCTCTCCCTCCACCTCAATCTTGTTTATTGTATTCAGTTCCTTCCTTTTTTTTAGTTGCCAGGCTAGTAATTTTCCTGATTTATTGGCGTGTTCGAAACTTTTTTGTCTTAATTTTTTGATCTTCCATTCTATTTCTCTGTTTATCAGCATTGCCAGTTGCGACTGTAGGATCTTAATGTTTTCTTTTATCCTCCTGTTTTTCGGGTTTTCAACTAGTTTTTGTTCGTTCTCCATTATTTGCTGTAAGATTTCTCTTTTCCCCTTTTCTCTTTTTTTATTCTTAATTGCACTCTGTTGGATGAAAAATCCCCTCATCACCGCCTTGCCTGCATCCCACACCACCTTCGATTTAGTACCTTTGCCCAAATTGTCCTCAAAATATTCTTTTAACTTTCCCTGTGCTTTCTCTATAATCTCTGAGTCGTCTAGCAGGTAGTCTTTCAATTTCCATCTATATGGTCTTTCCTCCAATCCTTTCAGTTCCAATTTTACTGCGTTATGGTCCGAGATCGTTTTAGGGAGAATCTCGACCCTGATAGCTCTTGGTACTAATTCTGCCGATATCCATATTTGATCTAATCTCGAAAATGAGTCGTTTGGTTCCGAATGGAAGGTGAACTGTTTTTCTAGAGGATATTTAAATCTCCATATGTCCACCAAATTGAAGTTGTGGACCAGTGAGAAAAAGGCTTGGGGTAGCTTTCCTTCCCTACTCACTCCTTCTCTTAACCTGTCGATGTCTAGCGACACCACGCCATTCATATCCCCTAGTAATATTATTACTTTCAGCTAAATGGAATGTTCAGGAAAGATTTTACAGATAAAGGCTACACTGACAAAGAGTCCAGATTTCAGATTGAAATATTGAATAATAACCATAGAATTCTGTCTAAAATGTATAACCAGCTATTGGGCTGGAACCTAATAGATGAAGAAGTAAAGTCGGTTGCGATACATTGGGCGAGAGATATCGGCCACAATATATATGCCGAAGAATGGGAGAAGCTTTGGAAAACACACCTTAAGTTTACAGCATGTGTGTCACTAAAGGAGAATTTAATGAAAATGTTCTACCGTTGGTACCTAACTCCTGTAAAATTAGCCAAAATGTATGGGACCTGTAATAAATGTTGGAAGTGTAGAGAAAGGGAGGGGTCCTTCTTTCACATGTGGTGGGAGTGCCAAAAGGTTAAAGAGTTCTGGGAGGGGGTGTACAACGAATTGAAAAAAATTCTAAGATATACTTTTGTTAAAAAACCTGAGGCGTTTCTGTTGGGATTGGTAGGGAGGGAGATAAAAAAGAAAGATCATAGGTTCTTCCAGTATGCAACATCGGCTGGAAGAATCTTAATAGCTCAAAATTGGAAATCTGAGAATATGCCGACAATTGAAGAATGGAGAGCAAAACTGTTAGAATATGCGGAGATGGATAAGATGACAGGGAAAATCAGATACTCCAAAGATCAGAGGTTCATCGAGGAGTGGGAAAACTTTACGAATTATCTGGAAAATCTGAGTGAAGGACAAATAACATTAGTGGGTTTTAAAGGAGCTCTGTAAAAAGGAAAAAGGGTACTGTCAAAGAGAAAGAGTAGAACTAGGATGGTTATCGACAATACAAACAAAAAAAAATGCGAATACTTATAAAGATATTATGGATGATTTGTGGAAAGGTTGAAGGAAGTCGTATCAAACAATTTGTGAATATGAGACTGTAATTTTGATGTTCTTTATTTTTAATATGCAAATCAATAAAAATTATTATTAAAAAAAAAAAAAAAAAAAAAAAAACCTACCTCGCAGGATTGTTGTGGGGATTAAAGGAGGCCAAGGAGGAGTCATGTACGCCGCCTTGCGCCATGGCATATCAATGCAATAAATAGTGTTTACAGCTGCTGTATCGCAGGGGGTTGGACTAGATGACTCGGGATACCTTTGCAAAGGTACAATTATGCTCCACCCACTTTGGCCTCTGGCCCTGCCCACTGGCTGGCAGCACCCCCACCCCACCCTTTGGAGTGAAGAAATCTTCCCTTCCTGTGTAGGACAGCAAACTGCAAGGCGAAAAAGATGCGGAGTTTTAGTGTTTTTAGATTTTAATAGGTTAATTTCTGCAAAGCCGAGAGAGACAGAGGGGGGGGGCAACGGGTTGGCGGAAAGGAAGAGTGTAATTCGTGACCCAAACGCAGACGAGAAGTGGGGGGGAATCGAGGAGGGATGCAGAGGAAAGACAGTACCTTGCCGTCGTATCTTTGCTTCAGCATATCTCTCCCCCCGACTTTCAAAGCCTGGATGTCCCTCTTAGTCCGGGAGTACCTCTCCTTCAACCTATGAAGGTCAGGAGAAAGCTGGTATCCCCCCCCCAAAAAAAAGCCAGCATGAGGACAGAGGAAGCCACGGCAGCAAGGAGGGGGGAAGCAGAGACAGAAAAATCCAGATAAGCAGACACACGATGCTCCAAGCCAAGACCCAGGAAAAAAAGCAAAAGACCCCAAACCACCGGCAAGCCACCCTCAAATTAGCAGCGGGGTTAGGACAGCCGACAGCCAGAAGCAGCCCTGACACAGCCTTTGACTGTCCAGAAAGGGCCCTCCGTCCCTGATCCCTTATTTGAGTGGGTGTGGCATAATGGTTAGAGTGCTGGACCAGGACTGGGGTTCGAATCCCTCCACTGGGCCATGCTGCTCACTGGGTGTGACCTGAGGGGACAGTCGCTGCCTTCTCTCAGCCGAGCCTCCCTCACAGGGTTGATGTGGGGATTAAAAGAGGAGAGAGTCCTATGTATGCCACCTGGAGCTCCTTAAGAGGAAAAAGGTGGGTGATAACTGCTGTGTAATAAATAAGGAAATCAAATGTGGCTGGACTCTTTCACTTTCAGCAGCCCCAGTGGCCAGCATGGGCAACGCTCAGGTATAATGGGATTTCTAATCTGGCTGAATTCAGAGTGGTCACAGGTCCCCCATCCCTATATTAAAAGAAGACAGGGTTGTGATGGAGGCAGCTGGGGTCAGTGAAGGCAAGTGATGGAGGCAGCTAAGGTCAGTGAAGGCAAGTGATGGAGGCAGCTAGGGTCAGTGAAGGCAAGCAATGAAGTAGGGGCCATGAAAGTGAGTGATGGAAGGAGCTAGGGTCAGTGAAGGCAAGTGATGGAGGCAGCTAAGGTCAGTGAAGGCAAGTGATGGAGGCAGCTAGGGTCAGTGAAGGCAAGCAATGAAGTAGGGGCCATGAAAGCGAGTGATGGAAGGAGCTAGGGTCAGTGAAGGCAAGTGATGGAGGCAGCTAGGGTCAGTGAAAGCGAGTGATGAAGTAGGGGTCATGAAAGAGAGTGACGTAAGGAGCTAGGGTCAGTGAAGGTAAGCAATGAACTAGGTGCTATGAAAGTGAGTGATGGAAGGAGCTAGGGTCAGTGAAGGCAAGTGATGGAGGCAGCTAAGGTCAGTGAAGGCAAGTGATGGAGGCAGCTAAGGTCAGTGAAGGCAAGTGATGGAGGCAGCTAGGGTCAGTGAAGGTAAGCAATGGAGGGAGCTAGGGTCAGTGAAGGCAAGTGGTGGAGGCAGCTAGGGTCAGTGAAGGTAAGCAATGAAGTAGGGGCCATGAAAGCGAGTGATGGAGGCAGCTAGGGTCAGTGAAGGCAAGCAATGGAGGGAGCTAGGGTCAGTGAAGGCAAGTGGTGGAGGCAGCTAGGGTCAGTGAAGGTAAGCAATGAAGTAGGGGCCATGAAAGCGAGTGATGGAGGCAGCTAGGGTCAGTGAAGGCAAGCAATGGAGGGAGCTAGGGTCAGTGAAGGCAAGTGGTGGAGGCAGCTAGGGTCAGTGAAGGTAAGCAATGGAGGGAGCTAGGGTCAGTGAAGGCAAGTGGTGGAGGCAGCTAGGGTCAGTGAAGGCAAGCAATGGAGGGAGCTAGGGTCAGTGAAGGCAAGTGGTGGAGGCAGCTAGGGTCAGTGAAGGCAAGCAATGGAGGGAGCTAGGGTCAGTGAAGGCAAGTGGTGGAGGCAGCTAGGAGAAGTTAAGTGGAGGTAGCCAAGGGTGGTGAAGGCAAGTGACAGTCTAGTTCAGAGGCAGGGAACCTTCAACCTTCCAGGTGGACTCCAACTTCCCACAGCTCCACAGCCCCAATGGGTCAGGGATGATGGGAGCTGTGGTCCAGCAACATCTGAAGAGTGCCAGCCTCCCCGCTCCGCGCTCATTTGAAGCATGGGGAACAAATCAGAGCAGATATTGGTGTTCACTCAGACTGGAGTCCTAAATTCCTAGTCCTCAAGGACAAGCAGGTCACACGAGCATTAGAACCACCTGGTTGCTGGATCAGGCCAACGGCCCATCCAATGGGGATCCGGCAAGCAGGACCAGAGCTCTCCCTGCTGGTGATTCCCAGCCACTGCTATTATGGGGCATATTGCCTCTGAGGAGGGAGGTGCAAGATTCTCTCCCTCTCCTGTTACCTTTGGCTGGAAAGAGACTTTGTGCTTTGTTGGTTCCGCCCCCGGCTTGCTCTCCTCCCCAGATTCCTCGCTGTAGCTCTCGAACTCGCTGGAGCTCCAGCCTAGATCTTCAGTCTCCTGTGGTCCATCTTGATGGACATCTTCGTAGATGAGGCTCTTGTCCGAATCTGGAAGGACGAGACAGGGAGTTAGCGGAAAGGACCGCAGAGACACAATAACAGGCGCGACTGGGGAAGGATGGTGATGGGTGGATACTGGTCCTCTGAAACAGGAACCTTCCAAGGGAGAGAAGGAAAGGAAAAAGGGTGTGAATAGAATATGATGAGAGACGACAGGCAGAGCAAGGCAGCCCCTGAAAGTGGAAGGAGGAAATAACACAGAGAATGAGGAATAATGTTTCCAGTATGATGAATTAAGGCAGGAAAAGGTAGGCCACTTTGCAAAAACCTTCCAGGCTAGAGACCTTCAGTGCTGGAAATCAGAATCGTAGAACTGTAGATTTGGGAGGGATCCCCCAAAATCATCTAGCCCAACCCATGCAGTTGCTTTCCTGTAGCTTAACCGGAAGTGAAATTATAATGGAGGATTCTACAGAGCACTTTCTATAGAGTTGTACTATCTTCCTTCGCCCACACTAAGTTCATTGTGTACTTTTTTCTGCACAAGGAAAACAGTAATTTGAAAAAGCCACCCTACATCTCAAACAAACCCCGGTTTGGTGAATCGTCGTTTGGTGAAACCGTGGCTTGGAGTTCAGTGTCGATGAAGATGCTTTCAGGAAAACAATGCAGGTGGCTGTGATTTAAAATGAATGGGGAGGAGGGAAAACGATAGTGCTGAAGGTAAGAAGACACAAAACCTAGATAGGTAAAGGAGGCATTGTGGGAGGTGCCGTACCACGCTGGATCAGGTCCACATTTTCATAAGGAACGTCATCATAGATCACATCTTCTGGGGCTGGGGGGTTAGCCTGACCACCTGGAACGACAGCAACACAAGGTGGGAAGAGGCGGTGGCTAGTTTCGAGGCCAGAAAAAATAAAAACAAAATAAACGGGGAAATTTCTACCGCCCGGAAACTCTGGTTGAACCGGCAGCACTGAACAGCGTTTTTGGAACAGTGCCTGTGCACAGGATCGCGTCGCTCGATCAGTAAGGAAGGGACAGCAAAGCTACAATGAGGACTAGGAGCTTGGGGTGCATGCTCACTGTTTGACAGAGTAGACCCACTGAAGGCAACTGGTGTGGCATAACCAGGGGAGGACTGTGGCTCAGTGGGTAGAGCACCTGCCTCACCTGCAGGAGGTCCCAGGTTCGATCCCCGACAGCAACTCCAGACAGGGCTGCCCGAAATCTTGGAGACCTGCTACCAGTCAGTGCAGACAATACTAAGCCAGGTGGGCCAATGGTCTGACTCAGTGAAAGGCAGCTTCTTATGTTTCCTTTTATACAGAACCACGAGGACTAGAATATTGAGCCGAGGGGCCACATCAGTGGCAGGACACCTGCTTGGCAGGCAGAAGGTCCAAAGCTCAACCCACACTGGCAGCATCTGGCAGGGCTGAAATCCTGGAGAGCTGCTGCCAGTCAGTGCAGGCGACACTGAACTAGATGGATCAATGATCCAGGCTCCATATATGACACAGCATCCTATGTTCTGGGTTCATTCATTAAGCTGGGTACAACCTGTGAGTTGCTGGAACAAAACGTGCATGTTTGTACAGTAAAGAGTCCAGAGTACTCCCCCAACCCCCAGATCGTAGAATTGTAGCTTTGAAAGGGACCCAGAGAGTCATCTAGTCCAACCCCCTGCAAAGCAGGAATCACAGCTAAAGGATGCTTAATTATTATTTATTATTATTATTATTATTATTATTATTATTATTATTATTATTTACACCCCACCAATCTGGCTGGGTTTCCCCAGCCACTCTGGGCAGCTCACAACAGAATATTAAAAACACAATACAGTGGAACCTCGGGTTAAGAACTTAATTCGTTCTGGAGGTCTGTTCTTAACCTGAAACTGTTCTTAACCTGAAGCAGCACGTTAGCTAATGGGGCCTCCTGCTGCTGCCGCGCCGTCAGAGCACAATTTCTGTTCTCATCCTGAAGCAAAGCTCTTAACCTGAAGTAATATTTCTGGGTTAGCGGAGTCTGTAACCTGAAGTGTATGTAACTTGAGGTACCACTGTACAGCATTAAACATTAAAAGACTCCATCAGGCAAGGCCTCTTCCCACCCTCTAGTCTCTGCTTCTCAATTTGTATTGTATTATTTTACGTACTGTGGCTTGCCGTTGCTTTATTGATTATAGTTTAGAAATTACTTATTGTAACTGTCGAGTGGATTTCTGTTTAACTTTTATATGTTGATATTTTTATTTTATACTATAACAATTACTGAGTGTTATTTTTTGATGTAGGTTGCTTGTTTTAAAGTTCTGTTTTATTATCACATTTTTGTATCGCATTAGATTGCTAGATCTTCAGCTCGTAAACTGCCTTGAGTAGTGTAAGACAGAAAGACGGTATACAATTAAAAAAATGATGATGATGGAAACTTCCCTAAACAGGGCTGCCTTCAGATGTCTTCCAGAAGTAAGATGGTTGCTTATTTCCTTGACATCTGAAGGGAGGGCGTTCCACAGGACGGGCACCACCACCGAGAAGGCCCTGCGCCTGCTTCCCTGTAAACTCACATTTTGCAGGGAGGGAACTGCCAGAAGGCCCTCGGAGCTGGACCTCAGTGTCCGGGCTGAACGATGGGGATGGAGACGCTCCTTCAAGTATACAGAACAGAGGCCATTTAGGGCTTTCAAGGTCAGCACTAACACTTTAACATGAATGACGAATGAATGACCGAATCAAAGAATTGTAAGGTCGGGAGGGATCCAAGGTGTCATCTAATCCACTCCCTGCAACACAGGAATCAACACAAGGAATCCAGGCCCAAATGCCGCGTCCCCCAAGGCCTTTACCTCGCTGGGAGTTCCTCCGTTTCCAGCTGCGAGTCCGCACCCCAGTTTGCGCGCTCCCGGCAATCTCCCCATTGCTGACGGCGCCCAGGAACCTGAAGGCAAAAGGGGACAACCTTGAGACTGGCCAATTCCTCAAGCCATTTCCTCCACACCCCACAGCCCAAAAGACCTGTAAACTCCCAGCGACTCAGCGCACCTGCCCTTCGCTTTTAAAAAAACAGGCACCCAAACAGGGTTCCTGTTCAAACTCAGGCTCAGAAGGAGGATAGCCGCGGACGGATGGTCAAGGACATTTGCCTCCAGATCTTTGCAATGTGGTTTCTCGACAAACACAGAAAATCGGTTCTCTTTTACAGACTTTGCCAAACTGGTTTGCAGGTACTTCCAAGGTTCTTGAATTCACAGGAGTGGTTTTTAAAAGGGTGTTTCGCTTTACAACCCAGAGAAAAGCTGCTACACACACACACACACACACACACACACACACACTCCTACGTGTTCTGGCCAAAAAGCAACATTTTTACCCTGTTGAATTGCCCTGAGATCTTATGATGAATCTAATAAATAAAACACATAATTTTGGGGATTTTTTAGCTTAGAGAAAAGGGTAGTAAAAGGTGATATGGTAGACATTTCTAGAATTATACGTGGCATGGAAAAAGCACGTAAACAAGTTTCCTTCCCTCTCACTAGAACGCACGGAAGCTGAATGTTGGAAGACTCAGGAGACGCAAAAGAAAATCTGTCTTCATGCAGCACAGTTAAAACTGCCTCCTGTGGAACTCCCTCCCAGAAATTCCCACCAACGTGGAAGGCTTTAAAAGAGAAGAAGACAAATTTGTGGAGGAGAATTAGGTTCCTGGCGACTACCAGCCATGAGGGCCAAGCCATGCCTTCACAGCTGGAGGCCTCAGTGCATCTGAATACCAGTTGCAGGAAACTGCAGGAAGGGAGGATGGTCTTGTGTTCGAATCCTGCTTGTGGATTTTGGAGCATCTGATTGGGCAACTGTGAGAACAGGATGCTGGACCTGAGGGGCGACCAGCCTGATCCAGCTATGCAGTCCTGATGTTCTTACGTCACAACTGACAACCCCGTGGAGTTCTTATTTGACTTCCGTGAAATTTTGTTTTATCAAAATGTTTTAAATGTTAAAGTTTAAAACCCTAAATGACTCATGCCACAAATATGCATTCTTTCCCCTTGGAGGATTGGGGGGGGGGGTTTAAGATCGGCAAATAGGGTCTTCTTGGTTCCTCTGCTGCTCTTAGAGGTTGGTTCAGAACAGGGCCTTTTCCGGTGGCAGCCCCTGAGTTATGGAAGTTCCTCCCACAGAAGATGACTGATACTTTCTCAGCACAGCTTATAGCAAAAGCTGAGCATGCAATTCTCTTCCGGGGTCATGTGTCCATTTGCAAAAGTGGATGGAAGCAACAGATGCAAATTTCACCTCTGCACATCAGGCTAGCTATTACATGCAAACAGACTTCAAGGAAACTTTTGCAGCCAGGCAAAAAGCACTCCCGGAAGGTCGACTGGGGAGAGCGAATACATTTGGCCCCCGAACCTGAGGCTCCTCCTCCCCCCCCCCCCCGGATTTTGAGCATCTACACCTCGCACTTGTGCCAAAGGGCTCCCAGCACAATTCACCTGCAGCCACAGAGGCTCCCTGCCCACAGGCTTGTTATCTAAGAGCAGCAGCACAAGAGGAAAACACAGCAGGGAGGGAAGAGGTTTGCGGCTTCGAGTCTCAACACCCACCCCGCCCACTACCCAAATGGCAGCACAATGGGACAGACTATACAGTGGGAGAAATTATCCCCAGATCAGCACAGTTGACCTACCCTTAAAGGCAGCTTGTGGGCCCCGAGTCTGCAGCTCTGGCTTCCAAAGGCTGCTGCGCCATTTTATCCTCGACTCCTTTCGCTGCAGTGGAAGGCGCAATTTCTCTCCCTCTTGCCTTTATGCTGACAGTGCCCAGGCAAGGCAGCAATCAATATTTCCACCTCACCCTCCTCGGCTGCTTTGCTCCACCCCCCACCAAGCTCAGCATCCTTCTGAAGATGCCAGGCCTCGCCTCTTGCTGGCTCTCTGCCTGCCTGCCTGCCTGCCCAAACACACACACACACACACACACACACACACACACACACACACCGTCCCTTAATGGCTGGGCTTTGGAAATGGATTGCTAAAAGCCTCTGGTTGACAGAGGAGGAAAGCAAAGCTGGAGAGAGTGATGCTTCTTGGTACCAGCTGCTGGAAACCACAGGAGGGGAGAGCTGCTCCTGTGTTCGAATCCTGCTTGCCAGTTTCCCAGAGGGGCATCTCTGGGCCACTGTGAGAACTGGATGCTCGACTAGGTGAGCCGCTGGCCTTTGGGTGTGTGTGTGTTTTTCAATATACAGTGGTACCTCGGGTTAAGTACTTAATTCGTTCCGAAGGTCCGTACTTAACCTGAAACTGTTCTTAACCTGAAGCACCACTTTAACTAACGGGGCCTCTTGCTGCTGCCGCGCTGCCGGAGCCAGATTTCTGTTCTCATCCTGAAGCAAAGTTCTTAACCCGAGGTACTATTTCTGGGTTAGCGGAGTCTGTAACCTGAAGCGTATGTAACCTGAGGTACCACTGTACTTTCCAAATTTATACATTTCACTGATTTTACACTCATTTTGACATTTCCAAAACTTGACTTTCTCACCACCCGGTTCCTTTAATTAATTTTAATATCTTCTGCATATCCAAATTAATTTGTTCATTTATTCATCTACTTTAAATATATACTCTTATGAAACTGCAGGTTATTACAGTAATCCTGCCCATGTGTTTATCTGTTTGCAATTTATCTGTAAACATTCCATTCAAAAGAATTTCCATTCTTTTATAAAAAGTTTGTTATCTTGGTTTCTTATTCTTCCGGTAAGCTTTGCCATTTCTGCATACTCCATAAGTTTTTGTGTCCATTCTTCCTTTGCTGGGACCAGCAGACTGTGTGTGTGTGTGTGTGTGTGTGTGTGTGTGTGTATTACATATATCAAAGGCAGTTGGTGGAGAAGCTTTAATCCCTCAAGTCATGAGGTCTAGAAACTTGCTTCTTAAAGGGGGGAATGAAAGCTAAGATTGAGAAGCAGAATTCAATTCCAATGCAGCAAGTCCCTTTCCAGCATAAGGATATGCAAAAGGAGTGCAAAGTGGGAATGCTTGTGTGCTTCCCATAATAAGCATCTGCCTGGCCACTGTGAGGACAGAATGCTGGATCTACACTGATTTGTAAAAACACTAAAAAAAACACAACCATAATACAGCTCTCAATGCAAATTTACATTGCCAAGGGATCGCTGCTCTACATCGCATTCTGGTGTCACATGTTTCTAACACGTTTTTAAAGTTTTAACTGACCAGTAAACCACCACTGACCAGTAAACCAGCAGTAAACCTCCGATCAGGCTTGCCGATCAGAAGGTCAGCGGTTCGAAACCCCATGATGGGGTGTGCTCCCATTGCTCTGTCCCAGCTCCTGCTAACCTAGCAGTTCGAAAGCACGCCAGTGCTAGTAGATAAATAGGTACCACTGCAGCAGGAAGGTAAATGGCATTTCTGTGTGCTCTGGCTTCCGTCACACCAGAAGCGGTTTAGCCATGCCAGCCACATGACCCGGAAAGTTGTCTGTGGACAAACACCGGCTCCCTTGGCCTAAAAGCAAGATGAGTGCCACAACCCCATAGTCGCCTTTAACTGGACTTAACCATAAGGGGGTCCTTTACCTTTTATAGATTAGTCCTTGGTAGGCCATGGCCCTGATCCAGCAGGACTCTTCTGTTCTAAAGGAAATTATAAGAGAACTGTGCTCCCACCAGACTGGCATATTCTGCAACACATCCTTGAGTCCCGAGTTGAAGAAAAATAAGGCACTCTGCACATGCCCAGAGTTCTCTTACAACCAATCCCTCTTCCCGTGGAACTCTGGGAATTGTAGCTCCATGAGCAGGGGTCTCCCTTAGCGATGCCCAGCCCCCTGAACAAATTTCTGTTCCCAGGAGTCGTTGGAGGAAGCCACGATAACAGCTTTCCTACCGAAGCACCCTGAAATTAATTACATAATTGTGTTGGTTTTGGATAGAAAGTCAAGTCACTTAGGTTTTAGAGGAACTCCAACTGTAGCAGAATGGGAGCGGCATGAAGGTCCCTTCTGCAATGTGGTGCAGTGGTTAGAGCGCTGGACTAGGCTCTGGGGTTCAACTCCCCCAACTCAGCCACATGAAGTTTACCGGGCGACTTTAGGGTAGTAACTCTCAAGCTAAACAGGGTTGTTGAGGAGATGAAATGGGAAGGAAGAGAAGTATATATGCCACCTTGAGCTCTCTGGAGCAAAGAAGCTGGGATATCAATGCAGTAAATTAAAATAAAATAAAGTGTTCTCACCCCACTTTAAACGGTCAAAGAATCTAATGGCAGCTGGGAGCCAACAAAAATTTAAAAACTGAATGTGTATTACAAGTATAGGATAGACCGTGACTGTTTAAGGTGATCCAATATTCTGCAAAAGGCACCTTCTCTAGGTTCATATAATTCTGCCCTTCCCCATTCATAAATCAATAATAGTGCAATTGTAACAGCCATTCAAAAATAAATACTTTCCCCCCAGCTGCCACTAGAGGACACTATTGGACTTCCACCTTAACCACCACCATCTGGTCTGGGATATATATATTAAAACCTGCCTTTCCATGACATTTTGGAAATCCCCATCTTCCTGGTTTCCCAAAACGGCTCTCTCTTTTTTTCTAAAGGCCCCCAGATTCCAAAGTTCATATGTCACCCCCCGGATCTACGTTTCGCAATACCCTGGATCCCTGTTCCTCCGACCACAAAGCCAAAACCTCAGGAACGAAAGCTTGGGGACACCCATGGAACAAGATGTTCACCCTTGGCCACTGTGCACGTAAAAAGTTCACTACCCACAACGTGGAGAGAGGCCCCCAGGCTTGCTCTAAGGAAAAAATGAAGTTGGGGGAATCAATCCCTGACTGATCCACAAATGGGAATAAGAGACAAACATGGAAACAGGGCACCTCTGAGCATGTGCTGAGGGTCTTTCATGAAAACGCACCATCCAAGTTGGCGGCCACCAGTCAGCATCGCCTCTCGTGGCAGGGAGTTCCATAGTTTAACTATGCCCTGGGCGGAGGAGGACTTTCTTTTATCCGTATTGAATCTACTTAATCCCGCACAACATTTGTTTTGGACCATCAACATAAGGAAACAATGTAAATATTTAGGCTGTCAACAGCAAAGCTGGCTCTCAAAACCAAACGCCAGGTAATCACCGGGAAGAAAACAGCAATTAAATTAAGTGGGCTTATGGAAATAAGCTGAATAACAGACTGATTAAGCAACCAGGTTTTTGGAAATATGTTTTGCGGTTTCCCCCCCTCCTTAAGAATCTGCAGGCAGAAAGCAGCATGGTGGCTTTCTTGAGCTGTACTCTCCAATGTCATGGGGACCCACATGCAGGAAAATTGCCATTTCAGGAGAAATGTTTGGCTAGCATGCTTATATACCACTGTGGATTTTACCTTTGCAGAGTTAAAAACGTAAGAGCTCTGCCAGATCAAGCCGGTGGCCCATCTAATCTGCATCCTGTTCTCACAGTGACTGACCAGATGTCACAAAACAGAAACTCAGAAACAGCATCCGAGCACAACATCTGCCTCTCCCTCTGCAATTCCCATCACTGCCTCGGACTGTGGAGGCAGAAGAGGGCCATTGCGACCAGGAGCAATCCATAGCCCTCTTCTCCTCCGTGAATTTGTCCCATCCTCTTTTAAAGCCGTCCAAGTTGGTGACCACTGCTGCCTCTTGTGGCAGCGAGTTCCGCAGGTTAGCTCTGCGCTATGTGAAGGAGGTTTCCCAGTAGTGATGTATGGAAGTGAGAGCTGGACCATCAAGAAGGCTGATCGCCGAAGAATTGATGCTTTTGAATTATGGTGCTGGAGGAGACTCTTGAGAGTCCCATGGACTGCAAGAAGATCAAACCTCTCCATTCTGAAGGAAATCAGCCTGAGTGCTCACTGGAAGGACAGATCGTGAAGCTGAGGCTCCAAGACTTTGGCCACCTCATGAGAAGAGAAGACTCCCTGGAAAAGACCCTGATGTTGGGAAAGATGGAGGGCACAAGGAGAAGGGGACGACAGAGGATGAGATGGTTGGATAGTGTTTTCGAGGTTACCAGCATGAGTTTGACCAAACTGCGGGAGGCAGTGGAAGACAGGAGTGCCTGGCGTGCTCTGGTCCAGGGGGTCACGAAGAGTCGGACACGACTAAAAGACTAAACAACAACAAATGTGAAGGAGGATTTTCCTGTATCGGACCTGAATCTTCAAACATTCAGCTGCGTTGCACGCCCACCGATTCTAGTGTCACGAGAGATGGAGGGAAACTTTCCTTCATTGTATACGCTTCTACCAGGTCTCTTCTTAGTCCTCTTTTCTCTAAACGACCCAAATGCTGCAACCTTTCTTCATACGTGGAACTGGTTGCCCTCTGCAACCTTCCTCTTGGAAAGTAGGAGACCTTCAGGGAAACCACTTCCAGCCAGGCAAAATCCCTCAAAAAGGGGGCAAGGCAGGGCTAGGGAGAGGCGTGGCCAGGGGAGGCTTCTAGGGGCCACATCCAGAGGTTCAGGGGTCCACATTAGCCCCTCCAGGCCTGAGGTGCAGCCCCAACACACACACCCCTTGTTAGACTCTAGCCATAACAATAACAGCCAAGCCAAAAATTGTCTGGGGGGCTGTGGAACAAGAGTTTTATCTGCGAAGCAATTTTCACACAGAGACACCCACATTTGAATATGTTCACCAGGATCCTTGCGTCAATATCAAACACGAAAAACCTGCCTTCTTAAAGTTGCTAAACCTTGTTGCTTACACCCAGTAAGGCTTTGCAAACCAACCAACCAACAAATCTGAACGGCGCTTGACACCCAGAAGTGAATTCCTGGCTGACAAATTGGAGACCTTTTCAGTCCCAGTGGTACTGATTCAAACCGCCTGGACTTTGTACGTGCTCAGTGGAACTCTCGTTCCTCGGTTCCCCCTAAATTGATTTTTGAATTCTGAATTTGTTGTAATTCACGTTTTATACTGTATTTTATGCTGTTCTTGTTGCATCAGTTGTTTCAAATTTGTTGTTAGCCGCCCTGAGCCCGGTTTTCTGAACTGGGAAGGGCGGGGTACAAATAAAAAAATTATTATTATTATTATTATCATAACATAGGTCTCCCATATTGAGCTGCTGTTTTCTACCTGGTTCCACCTGGTAGGGATTAGGATTAGGATTAAAAACACATTTTCCCTCCTCCAAGGCTGAAGCCTGCCTTGCAGGGGGGGGGGACTTGGACATCTCCTGCCCCCACCCCCTTACCTTGAGAGAAAAAGGCTGTTGAAACACCCATAATCTAAGCTGCCAGACCAGGCCATGTAAACAAGAACTTCCCTTGACGCTCAAGGCCTGCAGGCACTGCTGGCTGCAACCCAAAAGCTCCCTCTCTTATCACCTGGAGAGGGAGGGGCTAAGGAGTCAGTAGGGAAGAGGGAGCTACCTGCCGTTTAACCCTTCAGCTGCCAGATCCAGAAAACAACCCAAGAACTATAGGAGGAAGCAGCTACCACGATCTTCCAGCATCTCTCCTGAAATTGATACCCCCCAGAAGATGTCTCTGGGCTAGCCAGGGTGATAGCCCAAGCCTCAGGTGAGCCAGGGTGAGGCCTCACAGATGGAGCTGGACTACAACTCCCATCGGCACCAGGTCAGGGATGGTAAAAGGAAGCTAGATTCCATCTGGAGCAGTGCCTTGGCCCTCCAGCTGGTTTTAGACTACAATTCCCATCATCCCTGACCACCGATTCCTAACTGAACTCCATTCAATATATTTGATAGCTTCTTCTTTAATCAAAGGCAGGGTTTCCCAAATCTGGGTCTCCAGCTGGTTTTTGGACTACAATTCCCATCATCCCCGACCACTGGTCCTGCTAGCTAGGGATGATGGGAGTTGTAGTCCCAAAACAGCTGACCCGAGTCGGGGAAGCCCTGATCTGCAGAGCCACGGGTTTCTCCTCCCTGCTTTAGAATAAAGCAGAGTTGTGATGGAGGCAGCCATGGGCAGTGAAGGCAAGTGAGGGTCTAGTTCAGGACTGGGCAAGCTGCTGCAGCTGGACAACAACTCCCATCATCACCCCCAGCCAGAATGGCCAATGTTCAATGGCAAGTTGCTTTCCAACAGCATCTGAAAAGCGACAGGTTCTCTGTGTTAAAAGAAGGCAGAGTTGTGATGGAAGTAGCTCAGGGCAGTGAAGGCAAGTGAGGGTCTGGTTTAGGGATGGGGAGACTGTGACCCCACAGGTGTTCCTTGACCAGCCCCAGACAGAATGGCCAGTGGTCAGGGAGGACCAGTGGCAGGGCCAGATTTAGGTTTGATGAGGCCTTAAGCTACTGAAGGTAATGGGGTCCTTTATATTACTATTATTATTATTTCTTCCTTCCTTCCTTCCTTCCCCGCCCATCTGGCTGTGTTTCCCCAGCCGCTCTGGGCGGCTTCCAACAAAGTATTAAAATACAGTGGTCTGTTAAACATTAAAAGGGCTGCCTTCAGATGTCTTCTAAAAGTCTGGTAGTTGTTCTTCTCTTTGACATCTGGTAGGAGGGCATTCCACAGGGCGGGTGCCACTACCGAGAAGGCCCTCTGCCTGGTTCCCTGTAACTTGGCTTCTCACAGGGAGGAAACCGCCAGAAGGCCCTCCGGCGCTGGACCTCAGAGTCCGGGCAGAATGATGGGGGTGGAGTTTTCTGTGTTGAATATATGACCAATGCTAATTTATGGACCTAATAGGTATCTAAAGCCATTTGCACATAACAAATAAAAGGTAAAGGGACCCCTGAGCATTAGGTCCAGTCGTGACCGACTCTGGGGTTGCAGCGCTCATCTCGTTTATTGGCCGAGGGAGCCGGCGTACAGCTTCCGGGTCATGTGGCCAACATGACTAAGCCGCTTCTGGCGAACCAGAGCAGAGCACGGAAAGGCCATTTACCTTCCCGCAGGAGTGCTACCTATTTATCTACTTGCACTTTGATGTGCTTTCGAACTGTTAGGTTGGCAGGAGCAGGGACCGAGTAACAGGAGCTCACCCCGTTGCAGGGATTCGAACCCCTGACCTTCTGATCGGCAAGCCCAAGGGGCTCAGTGGTTTAACCCACAGCGCCACCCGCGTCCCATTTTAAATTAATAAAGATACATGCCAGGCATAACCTCTGGAAAGGAAAGGTTGCCCTGAGAAACACTGATGCCAAAAGGAGGAAGGGTGAGGCAGCTGGGATTTTCTTCCCCCCATCTCACAAATGCTCATTTTCCGTTCTTGCTTTTTAAAATATTATATATCTACAGTATGCATGCACAAAATTTTTTTTAGAGCCACTTACTCCGAATGCGTCTGTGAGCCCAGGTGATCTGCCAGGAAAGAAATAGACAAAAGATGGTCAGTTGGTACCCAAGAAAGCCATCAGTTCTTGAATCATAGATGCTCACCTAGCACAACCACCTGAAATACAGGAATCACAATGTACCAGATTGGTTACTATGGCTCAGAGGCATAGCTGTCAACTTTCAGATTTGAAAATAAGGGATCAGCAGCCTCCCCTGTCCCGGGGACAGTCTATGGGATATCTAACAATCCGGGATAGCAGCGGGAAGCAGCGGGAAATGGTGCTGGAATAAGGGAATTTCACGCAAAAAAAGGGAAGGTTGACAGCTATGCTCAGAGGGGGTTGGAGGAAGGCCAGAGAGACCTGGGTTCGAATCCCCGGCCGGCCATGAAGCTTAATGGGATGACCTTTCTTCCACCTCAGCTCTGACCTAACTCACCGGGTCGTTGTGAGGTTGAAAATGGAGGAAAGGGCAGGGCAAGCGAAGCGTCAATTCTGAACTCCCTGGTTTTAATTGAGCAAGATCGTAGGTAAGCAAACTAAGGTCCGGGGGCCGGATCCGGCCCAATCACCTTCTAAATCCGGCCAGCGGATGGTCTGGGAATCTGCATGTTTTTACATGAGTAGAATGTGTCCTTTTATTTAAAATGCATCTCTGGGTTATTTGTGGGGCATAGGAATTCATTCATTTTTTCTTCTTTTTTTCAAAATATAGTCTGGCCCCCCACAAGGTCTGAGGGACAGTGAACCGGCCCCCTGCTGAAAAAGTTTGCTGACGCCTGAGCAAGATACATTTTTTAAAAAGAGAGACTGAAAATCTGAGAACAGGACATTATCGAACGGAAACCCGCTCTTTAATGCAGAATCTAGATGAGCCCTTAGGTTTTAACCATTACTGGGTACTGGACCCTGAGAACTGGAAGGGTCTCTGGGCATCATCCAGACTAACCCCCACCCCAAAACCCACAAGCTGCCGGTAACTGGTAAAGGGTTGAAACTGGTTCAGAAGTGTGGTGTAGACCATGCTTGTCAGGAGTGCTCTGATGGTGTTTCCTGCTTGGCAGGGGGCTGGACTCGATGGCCCTTGTGGTCTCTTCCAACTCTATGATTCTATGATTCTATGATTCTAGATTCTATGATTCTAGACACGCTTACCGAGGTTCGAGTCAGAATGGGTCATAGGGACCCGGTCCTCCAGCAAAGCCTCTTCGGCCTCCCAGTCATCCAGGGGTTCAAGGTCATCACTGATGCTGGATCTGCGCCTCTGAGGTGGGCCCTGCACAGCCCCCCTGGTGCCCAGCTCAGTCCTGGCATTGCTGACCACCAGCTGGCCGTCCTCGTCCTCGCTGTCCTCAAAGTCAAAGGCCTCGCCCCCCTCGTCATCCCCCTCCGTCGAGATCTCCAAAACGCCCTGCGTGGCCCCGTCTCCTGGAAAGCAGAAGGGAGCAGGGGGGGACACACAAATCAGCAATTTGGTGGTCTGCAGCCCTTCATTCAGAACAATGAGGGCCAGAAGCTTGCTTTATTTTTAAGGGAAAGTCCATAGCTCAAGGGTGAGAGCACGTACTTTGCACATGGCCTGAAATCCTGGAGAGCTGCTGCCGGCCAGTGTAGGCAGCACTGAGCTAGATGGACAAGTGTTCTGGTGCCTTTTAAGCAGATTCTTGTGTTCCTATGTCCCATTTGGCTGTATTATTATTATTATTATTATTATTATTATTATTATTATTATTTTATTACATTACATTTATACACCTCTTGGTTGTGGTTGTTTTTAAAGAAGCTGTTGTTTACAAAAAGATAAAACAAGGAAATCGAGGGGGAAATGCAATACTTTAAAAGTTAAAATGGAACTCACATCATTTTTCTAAGCGTCTGGGCAGGCTGGCCCATGAATGTTTTTGGCTGGCATTGAAAAGAACACAGCTGTGACAGGAATTTTATGGTCTTAGATATATGGTAATGTTCATAAGTGTACCAACCAAGCACATACATAGATCAGCACAGGAAGGCCAACCTGGAACCATTTTGATTCCTAAACTGAGCAAATGTTTTCTCTGCAAGGTCAAACTGGAAAAGCCTCCCCATTGTCTTTTCCTTCACAAACCCTGTCTTAAGGGTATGTCTGTGTTTGAACAGGGTGTGAGCCTGTGACCTGGCCCAGGAACTAAGTATTTATCACTACAAAAGAGTGGCCAGGCTTCCCAGGCAATCCAATCAAGTAACCTGCCAGACAGGAGATAAACAATGACAGGAGAAAAACAGTATTCAAATTTCTGTTTTAGACGGCCTTTTCTGTGATGTAGGTGTGATGTATCTGAGGGGTGGTCTTAGGTTACACCCCTTCTGTGATGTATGCATGATGTTTCTGGGGGTGGTCTTGATCTACAGGGTGGCAATTTCAAAAGTCTTTATAAGGCCTTGCATGCCATTTTTCTGGGTCCCTCCTCACTCCTGCGGGTGAGGAGAGCACCCTGTTGCAACAGATCAATAAATGCCAAGCGTACAGGCTGCTGTTTTTCTCCAAGTTATCCTGGATGGTGTCTTTGTTTTTTGTCCAAGGGAGCCCTCGGATTTTTCCGTTAACACAGCACTGCTTGTTATCAATAGGTAGGGAGTTCCAAAGTGCAAGAGCTGGTTGAGTCCTTGCAAATGCAGAACGAGCATTATGCGGCAAATATAGTAGTGCCAGTTCCAACAGAAGCAGTAAAAAAGGCACATAGAGATTGCTTTGTTCTCCCCATATTCCAATTTTTTTTAAAAAAAATAATAATAACCCAATAATAGTTTATTTTGCCTTGCGGCAAACGGTGAGCGAGGGGGAGTGTTTGCAAACTCAAGCTGCTGTCATTAAACAGGTTTGCAGGTGGCGGCGAGGTTTTATGCCTCAGGATTAATCCCCTGCTTTCTGGCAGGAGCTCAAGGCTAGGAGGGTGTGCTAAATTGGGAGCAGGAAGGAACCGAATACTGCTAGAAGCTCTGCCCTCTGTTGCCAAGTTCTAAACTGACCTGGCGATGGAAGGAAAAGATCTTAGACTTCTGTCTGCTGATTTCACATAACCATAGAACTGGAAGCTGGAAGGACCCCCCCCAAAAAAAAACAAACAAAAAAACCTCTAGCCCAACCCCCCTGCAAAGATGTTTATAACATGATGCGTAGCCTGGAGAAAGCAGCTAGAGAAAAGTTTTCCTCCGTCTCTTGTAACGTCAGAAGCCACAGCCATCCACTGAAACCAAACACTGAAAGATTCAGAATGGATAAAATACCGTATTTTTCGCTCTATAAGACGCACCAGACCACAAGACACACCTAGTTTTCGGAGGAGGAAAACAAGAAAAAAAATATTCTGAATCTCAGAAGCCAGAACAGCAAGAGGGATCGTTGTGCAGTGAAAACAGCAATCCCTCTTGCTGTTCTGGCTTCTGGGATAGCTGCGCAGCCTGCATTCGCTCCATAAGACGCACACACATTTCCCCTTACTTTTTAGGAGGGAAAAAGTGAGTCTTATAGAGAAAAAAATACGGTAACTGTGCAGAAACAACCTAACACATTTTGCAAAGCACTTTCAAGACTTATGTGTCGATCGCTGAAAAAATACACCCAGGACCTCCCCCCGCACACACTTTATAATTTGTTGTTTCTGCCTCAGCAGCACCAACGAGGACTAGAAAATTGCTTTATATCTGCAGGAAAGCTCAGTTTCCCTCTGAACTGCTGGAACATATTCTGCGTCACCTGGGTGGTGGGGCGTGTGTCAGTAACCTAGACATCTGCCCCTGCCCCATCTTTTTATTTTAAAAATGAAATAAAAATCAGAAAGGTGTCGCTATTTGATGAGGAGTAGAGCAAAGATCAGGTAGACTGGCAGTTGGTGGAGTGAGATTTATAGAAGGTTGGAAAACTGACAGAAAGTACCACCTTCTTTTGGAACCCAAATATTAACACCTAAAGCCGTAACAACTCTGCAAGTAGTTTAAGGAACTGAAGAGAATATAAGAAGTGCATTTGCCATCTTGTTTACAAGCCTGCATCCACCAAATCTTGATGATAGATATAGATAGATGATGATGATAATGATGATAGATAGATAGATAGATAGATAGATGATATAGATGATAGATAGATAGATGATAGATAGATAGAGATAGATAGATGATAGATAGATGATAGATAGATGATAGATAGATGATAGATAGATAGATGATAGATAGATGATAGATAGATGATAGATAGATGATAGATAGATATAGATGATAGATATAGATAGATGATAGATAGATAATAGAGAGAGAGGTAGGTAGGTAGGTAGGTAGGTAGGTACAGGGAGGGAGGGAGGGAGAGAGAGAGGGGGGGGTAGGTAGATAGATGATAGATAGATAGTGATAGAGCGAGAGAGAGAGAGAGCAAGAGAGAGAGAGGGTAGATAGATATAGATAGATTAGATAGATAGATAGATGATAGATAGATAGATAGATAGATAGATAGATAGATAGATAGATAGATAGAGATAGATAGATGATAGATGATAGATAGATAGATAGATAGATGATAGATAGATAGATAGATAGATAGATAGATGATAGATGGATGGATGATAGATGGATAGATGGATAGATAGATAGATAGATAGATAGATAGATAGATAGATAGATGATAGATAGATGATAGATAGATGATAGATAGATGATAGATAGCTAGATGGATAGATGATAGATAGATAGATAGATAGATAGATGATAGAGGATAGATATAGATAGATGATAGATAGATAATAGAGAGGTAGGTAGGTAGGTAGGTAGGTAGGTAGGTAGGTACAGGGAGGGAGAGAGAGAGAGAGGTAGAAAGATGATAGATAGATAGTGATAGAGCGAGAGAGAGAGCAAGAGAGAGAGAGAGAGGTAGATAGATATAGATAGATTAGATAGATACTGTAGATAGATAGAGAGAGAGAGAGAGAGATAGATAGATAGATAGATAGATAGATAGATAGATAGATAGATGATAGATAGATAGATGGATGATAGATAGATAGATGATAGATAGATGATAGATAGATGATAGATAGATGATAGATAGATGGATAGATAGAAAGATCTAAATATAGTTAACTGTGTCTTGAAAGAATTTCATCTCCTGGCAGATCTTTTACTTAGCTAATTTTGTTGTCAAATAAAACCTTTTCCCTCCTTAACATCCCTAAGTCTCCAAGTACCCGAGTTTTCTTTAGAAAAAGCAGAAATAGCCAGAAGTAGTGTGAGAGGACATGCCTCAGTGACAGTACCTATCGAAGACGGTTGGGGTGGTTGAGAGGTGGCCATCTCCTTTTCTCTCTGTCTGTGTGTCTGTCTGTCTCTCAACCACTGTTTCCTGACGTTTCTCTCCCGGAGCCTCTCCCTGCTGTTTTCCTAAGCGGAAAGGGGGGAAAGAAATTTGTTCAGGTGGGACTCTGTTCTTCCAGGAAGCAAATCCCCAATCTTATTTCCCCCTAATGCTTTCCCCCATCCAAGACAGTTGCTACGGCTCCTGCTTCCCTGCCTGGGAACCCCAGAATCTGCATCAGGCGGAAAGGTGAAAGTTGCAGAATACAGTCGTACCTCAGGTTACATACGCTTCAGGTTACATACACTTCAGGATACAGACTCCGCTAACCCAGAAATAGTACCTCGGGTTAAGAACTTTGCTTCAGGATGAGAACAGAAATCAGGCTCTGGCGGCACGGCAGCAGCAGGAGGCCCCATTAGCTAAAGTGGTGCTTCAGGTTAAGAACAGTTTCAGGTTAAGTACGGACCTCCGGAATGAATTAAGTACTTAACCCGAGGTACCACTGTATGTGCATCCAATGTTCTTTTGCGATCTGGGCAATTTCCACTCAATATCCTTCCAGACACTGCTGCAAAGGTTATTCAGGAACCAACACAAGGCCTTCTGGCTCTTGCATGCTCTGTCCCCCATGAGGGCTAGAAACTTATATTTTTATAGGAAAGCGAGAAAATTGGGAATGGGGTTTTATCCAACCCTTCTAAAGCAGTACATGCCTAAGGCTGTCATAGGAGACCCCATTGACCAAGTTTCTGTAACGCTTATCTGGATTGCAAGATGAGGATATCAGACCTCGTATGAGAACACAGGAAACTGCCCAAGTCAGACCCATGGCTCTATATAGCTCAGTACTGTCGACACTGACTGGCAGCAGGGTTCCAGGCAGGGGGTCTTCCCCCAACCCTACCAGGAGATGTTGTTGGAGATTGAACCTTGAACCTTCTGCACCCTACAGGGTTTGGATTGCATAGATAGACGGAGAGGAAATCGCATCTCGTATCAAGGATTTGGACAACCCGGCAACTGGCAAATCCTACCCTTCTTGGCTGGCATTCTGCTAACCAACTGCACCTCTGAGCAAAATGAATCCCACAAAATCAGCCCAGGAGGCAGGGCCTCGTTCAACCAGCATTCTATCGCTCATCAAGGCACTTCCAGATTAGCCCAGAGGAAGCGTGGTGGGAGGGGGAGGCCCTCTAAACTACGGAACTCACTGCCACAGGAAACCTGGATGGCTTTAAAAGAGGATTAGACAAATTCATGGAGGAGGCAAGGGCTATCCATGGCTACTAGGCTCTGCCTCCCCGGTCAGAGGCAAGGATGCTTCTGAATGCCTGTTCCTGGAAACTATTATTATTATTATTATTTAACATAATTATTACAAAATACAAGCAAAATACATACATACATATATATTTCAGATAAGCACACAAATATAAAAAGAACAAAAAAGAAAAAAGGAAGAAAAGAAAAAGAAAAAATAAAGAGAAAAAGAGGAAGAAGAAAAATTGGAAGAATGTCTTCCAAGTTTATTCTACAAGTATCTCAATAATAAAATTTCATTGATTGACTTCCATCGCTTACACTGCACTTCCTATATACATTTTAAGCAAAATTGTATCTGTTATTCCATATTTTCCCCATACAATCTCATACAAATATTCTAATCAATAAGTTTTCTAAATCTTTCATAAATCTATTCTTAACACAACCAATACCTTACACTTGATCTTTGTCTACATAAATAATCATTTAAACATTTCCATTGTTTCTGGATTATGCTTTTTGGTTTATGTCTTATCAAATCAGTCAGCTTTGCTAATTCCAAGTATTCGCATAATTTATTCAGCCATTCTTCTTTGGTTGGAACGTAATTCCCTTTCCAATTATCGGCTATTAACATTCTCACTGCGTACAAGAAAATATTAATTTTTAATTATTATTTTTTTAAAAAAATGACAAAATGCCAGTTCCTGGAAACTTGAGCTCTTGTCTGGGTCCTGCTTTTGGGACACCTTGGTGGCCCCTGTGAGAACAGGAGGATGTGCAAGATGGGCCACTGGCTCGATCCAGCAGGCTCTTCTTACGTTCTTATGTTACAGCGGGACACGAAACCTAGCAAAATGCTTACTGAATAAGCTCACAAACACCCCAGCGCAACCTTAAGCTCACTTAATGGCCTCTGGCACGCTTGAAGGTGCTTTCTGATAAATGGAGTTCCTGAAGAAGAAGTGGAGAAGCAAGACACAATTGTCATTGGAAATCCTGCATCGTAGGGCGCTGGACTAGATCATAGCTGCCAACTTTCAGATTTGAAAATAAGGGATCAGCAGCCTCACCTGTCCCGGGGACAGTCTACAGGATATCTAACAATCCAGGATAGCAGCTGGAAGCAGTGGGAAACGGCGCTGGAATAAGGGAATTTCCCGCAAAAAAAGGGAAGGTTGACAGCCATGGACCAGATGACTCTGAAAATCAGTGTCCAACATGCACTCAATGTAGTATGAACACCGACAACTGGGAAACACTGGCCTGCGAGCGCTCCAATTGGAGAACAGCCTTTACCAAAGGTGTCATGGGCTTGGAAGACACTCGTACCCAGGATGAAAGGGAGAAACATGCTAGGAGGAAGGCACGCTTGGTAGACCCTCACAGTGATCAGCTCCCGCCCAGAAACCTATGTCCCCACTGTGGAAGGACGTGCGGATCCAGAATTGGCCTCCACAGCCACTTACGGACTCACTTTTAAAACCATGTTTATGGAAGACAATCTTACTCGGCTACGAAGGATCGCCAAAGAAGAAAACATGCAAATGGATGCAGGCAGCCTAAGGTGGAATCTGGACACATATGAAAAAAAACCGCTGTGAAAATGCTTTCTTTAAAAAGCGTTTTGAAAAATATGTTGAATTTACCATAAGCTCACAATCGCCATCTAATGTCACATTTGTATAATGCACTTGAAACGTTATACAGTGGTACCTCAGGTTACAGACGCTTCAGGTTACAGACTCCGCTAACCCAGAAATAGTGCTTCAGGTTAAGAACTTTGCTTCAGGATGAGAACAGAAATCGTGCTCCGGTGGCGCGGCGGCAGCAGGAGGCCCCATTAGCTAAAGTGGTGCTTCAGGTTAAGAACAGTTTCAGGTTAAGAACAGACCTCTGGAACGAATTAAGTACTTAGCCCGAGGTATCACTGTATTTGCATCTGTGTAGCTGAGGCCTAAGATGCAATGAACCCCGTCGCAGGAACCTTAACCCTCCTTCTGCCACTAACCCTGTCACAAGACGACGCAGGGGCAGGGGGGAAAGACCCTCCAGCCTCTGCGAGTTGGCCTATGGCAGAGTCCATAAAACTGCAGACAATCTCATGTGGATCCTGTTACCCATTGTCAGGTTCTGCAGGAGTACATTGGTACCTTCATTTACGAACTTAATCCGTTCCGGAAGTCCGTTCTTAAACCAAAGCATTCTTAAACCAAGGCGTGCTTTCCCATAGCAGCAGGGGACTCAATTTACAAATGGAACACACTCAACAGGAAGCGAAACATGTTCTGCTTCCAAGGCAAAGTTGACAAACCAAAACACCTACTTCCGGGTTTGCAGTGTTCTTAATCTAAGTTGTCCATAAACTAAGCTGTTCTTAAACCAAGATACCACTGTATTGATTATTTGCCCTACAGTGAAATCTCTTTGTCTGTCTCATTTTAATTTTTGTTTTAAAAAAGACTTGCAAAATTCTAGATCAATTAACCATTTCCATCACTTATTTTTGCAAGGTGGCGAGGGAGGATGCAAGTCTGCAAATTTTCCTCCATCGCAGACTCACTCGCCGGAGCCAGATGGTGGGTGTTGGTTTTTTTAAAAGAAGCAAACCTCAGTAAGCTTTAGAGCAAATCCGTCAGGTGGTGAGCATATGGAAGCTGTCAAGAAACAAGTAGGACTCTCGGTATATCATGGAGCCATGAGATCTGCGGGTCGACAGATTCACTAAGGCTTCCTGATGCTCAGCCTCCGTTATATACAGGGGTATCTTGGTTCTCAAACGCCTTGGTACTCAAACAACTTGGAACCGAAACACTGCAAACCCGGAAGTAAGTGTTCTGGTTTGCAAACTTTTCTCAGAAGCTGAACGTGCTCCATTTTGAGTGTTACGCTTCCAATTTGAGTGCCACACTTCCATTTTGAGTGTTACACTGAGGACTGTCTGTTTTTGCTATTTATTTTGCGTTTTCGTGGCTTTTTTGTTTTGCTTTTGTGACTGTGCGGAACCCAGTTCAGCTAATGATTGATTGATTGATTGATTGATTGATTGTGTGACTGCAGTACATTGATTGATGCTTTCATTTTATGGATCAATGGTCTCGTTAGATAGTAAAATTCATGTTAAATTGCTGTTTTGGGGGGTCGTTTTTAAACATCTGCAAGGGATTAATCCATTTTGCATTACTTTCTGCAGGAAAGCCCGCCTTGGTTTTGGAACGCTTTGGTTTTGGAACGGACTTGCGGAACGGATTAAGTTTGAGAACCAAGTTACCACTGTATATTGTTTTAAAATGGGCATTGCTTGCTCTGGATAACTGTGGGCGCCCTTTAGAGTTTCCTCTCCAGGCCAAGCCAACAAGACAAACATGTTTGTCCGCATTCTGTTGCTGGGAGTTCTCCTCTCCTCCTCCCCGGTGATGAGAACACCCAGGAACATCACAGGGAGGCCTAGACAATGGCTAGGAAAGGCGTGTTGCAGGAATGCAACAATAAAATCTGCATTGTTTTGACAGTGGGAATGCAAATACTGTATATGATAGGTCATGTCACATCTGACTGCAAATTCCCACATAGACAGGCCTTTCTTCTAGTTCCAATGCAAGAGTATTTTGTTTGTGTGGTTGTATATGTTTGTACACGTGTGTGTGTGTGTGTGTGTGTGTGTGTATACACACCCCTGCCCATGCACCCAGACTATACATTTTGCTTAACATTCACCCTTTATTTGGCTTTATTCATTTGTTCATCAAAAAAGCATTCATAAAGCACGTTTTTTAAAAAAAATCTCTCAGCAGTGTACAACATTTAATAAAACGGAGCAATGCTGTTAAAATCCAAAATGTAAAGTATGAAAGACAAGTATAAAAGCGCATAAAATAAATAAGGCCAGGAATCCAGGGGAAACAAACCACAATTATTTTCATGGGTCAGAGTCTTTCCAAGACACCTGAAGCAATGGATGGATCCTACTTCACTTATTAAACAACCATTATTATTGCTGTTAATTAACAGCAATAATAATAATTGTTTAATTACTCAGTGGCTCAGCACAGGCAAAGTGTCTCGGGTTCAGAAGTGGGCGTGGTCAGGAGTAAAAGTGGGTGGGGCAATAGGCAGAAGGTTGGTGGTTCAAGTCCACCACAGGATTCCTGCATTGCAAGAGGTTGGGCTAGATGACACTTAGGGTTCCCTCCAACTCTACCATTTTATGATTCTAAGATTTCAGCCAAGCAAAAGCCAGAGATTTCTACACACACACACTCACCGGTTTCCCCCCCTCTCTCTCTCCTGTGTTCAGAAGCCTGATAACACTTCAGGGATGCATCTCAGACAAGCAAAATGTGCTGGTCCCGGGGGGAAGGTTACTGTATTCGTAGTCAAAGTTCAGTCCTGAGTCACTAGCCTGGAAATAGTTCACAAGGTGCGGGGCGAGGTCCGAAGCAGGAAGCCGGGCGGGGATAGGAACACTCGAAGATCGGAAGCAGGAGGCCGGGCGGGGAACAGGAACACTGGAAGATCAGGTCTGGGTCCTGGTAAGAACAGGTACTCCACAACGACGTTGCTCCCGCAACCTGGGACCGGGCTGACTGGCCTTTATCTTCTCTGAGGCCAGGGGCGGTCCCGGCCCCCAGGAGCCCCGCCTCTCCTGGCCTTAAGGCGAGCACTCCTCCTGGGAGAAACCAGTTCCCTCCACCTCTCTGCCCTAAGCCTCTGCAGTTCAGGAGAGGCCGAAGGGTTACTGGGCCCCGGGGGAGGCTCACCTGTAGACACTGAGTCCTCAACTACCTCTGGAGCCAGAATGGATTCACCTGGTGCCTGCTCCTGAGGATCCAGCACAGGTGCAGGCGCCTCAGAATCAAGGCCCTGCCCCAGTTCAGCCGGCCCTGGAGGCGGGGACTCCTGTGCAGGCTGGGATTCCTCCAGTTCACTCTCTGAATCGGAATCCCAGGCCATCACACCAAAGTATCTGAAGAGGGTTCAGATCTGGGCCACTGAGGGGGTGTGGATTTGGAACATGGGGAGTGGCTTGGAGAGAGTCCTGTGGGCCAGATTGAGAGGGCCAGGGGGCCACATTCAGCCTGTGGGCTGGAGATTCTTCTTCACTGGTTCAACGCCTCCCGTTCAATCCCACCTTTGGGCCGGCGATTAAACCTTTAACCTCTCTCCCTGTGCCGCCTCCAGAAAAGAAATCCTCTCATTTGGTTTCAGATCATTTGGCGGTCAGGAGGGGCAGGCAGCAAAGAGAGAACTCCCGACAACACACAAATCTTTAACTGGAGAAACCAAACATCTCCAGGAGCCAAGAATGTCCACATGACCAGCGATTGCTCCCAGCAATGAGACATTTCTTTCGCCGGGAGAGAACAGCCCAAGCTTGCTCAATCTCCAGCATTGTGTCAACATTGCCCAAACCACACAGACAGAGAAACAGAGACCGGCGGAAAAGCCTGGCTGCTGGGTCGAGCCAAAGGTCCCATCCTGTTCTCCACATTTTTCACCAAAAACAATACGGCGAAGAGATACCTGTCCCAATGTCAATCAGCAGGGAGTTCCGAAGATTCCCAATGAAAGAGTGATTTCTCGCAAGGGCAGAACGAATGTTATATAGTGGTACCTCGGGTTAAGTACTTAATTCATTCCGGAGGTCCGTTCTTAACCTGAAATTGTTCTTAACCTGAAGCACCACTTTAGCTAATGGGGCCTCCCGCTGCCGCTGCGCCACTGGGGCACGATTTCTGTTCTCATCCTGAAGCAAAGTTCTTAACCTGAAGCACTATTTCTGGGTTAGCAGAGTCTGTAACCTGAAGTGTATGTAACCTGAAGAGTTTGGATTTGATATCCCACTTTATCACTGCCCTAAGGAGTCTCAAAGCGGCTCACATTCTCCTTTCCCTTCCTCCCCCACAACAAACACTCTGTGAGGTGAGTGGGGCTGAGAGACTTCAGAGAAGTGTGACTGGCCCAAGGTCACCCAGCAGCTGCAGGTGGAGGAGCGGAGACGCGGAACCCGGTTCCCCAGATTACGGATCTACCGCTCTTAACCACTATACCACACTGGCTTGTATGCAACCAGAGGTACCACTATATGTGACCCTAGTTTTAAAATGCGAGGGGTATGCCTATTGAACCGTCCGCCTGGGCATAATTGGGGCACAGCGATCGTTCAGATAGAGAGGTGATATAAAAGCGGGATATCAAATCCAAACTCTTCAGGTTACATACGCTTCAGGTTACAGACTCTGCTAACCCAGAAATAGTGCTTCAAGTTAAGAACTTTGCTTCAGGATGAGAACAGAAATCGTGCTCCAGCGGCACAGCAGCAGCAGGAGGCCCCATTAGCTAAAGTGGTGCTTCAGGTTAAGAACAGTTTCAGGTTAAGAACAGACCTCCAGAACGAATTAAGTTCTTAACCCGAGGTACCACTGGATCATAAAAGATGCAGGAGGAAATGATTAACAATAGGACCCACAAAGGGGAAGAGGGAAGTCCAAGAGATTATATGGAATCTTGTTTGTATGTTGCATGTTCGATATGTGACTGTAAAAATTTAATCTGAAAAACCAAACAAACAAACAAACAAACAAACACCCTTGGGGTACCCTTCAAGTCTACAATTCTAGGATTCTATGGTCTAATAATAATACCTTGAATTTGGGCTTGTAGCTGGACGCCAGCTTACCAGAAGATTCATCTGTTTTGACCACTGTGAGAACAGGATGCTGTGCTCAGCAGAGAGTTTGGCCTGATTCAGCGTTGAGGCCGCTGGGCTAGTCATGCGAAAAGGCTCCCTTCAACTCCCATCCCTGAGGCTTTTCTGAGCCACCTTGGAACAATCGGCTGAATAATATACATTTTTTCCTTCACCGCCTCCTCCTCCCCTCACAGCTAAAGAAAAAAGAGCCCCACCCTCTCCGGCACTCAGGCTTCCAGTCACGCTGCCTGAACCATCACAGAGAAGGCAGAGAGCCTAGGAAACCATTACGACACCCGTCCCAGATTGGGAGGGTAACAAGGAGGACTCGCCAAGAGGCCATGGAGCAACAAATGGCAGATCAGATCGGATTTCGCTTCAGAAAACAGGAAGGAGCTTCTCTTCAGTTCTGCCGCAAAGGCAGCACCGAGCCTGCATTAAATGTCACCGCGCACCCCAGCATGTGCAGCACACAGCTGGGAAAGCCAAGAGTGCCCCTGAGCATGTACAGATCTCAGCTTGCCGCACTGCCTGCAAACCACGGTCTGCTCCCCAACAGCCTTCTCTAGCCTGCCTGACCTCCAAATATTTCGGGCAGAGCCGCACTGTACACTTGAATTTTGCCCGATGCACATCTGAGTCACCCAACCTCCCCCCCCCTCACAAATACTCCTGGAAACCATAGTTTTCCTCCCCACAGAACTCCTGTTTCCAGCACCCTTCACAAACTATGATTCACACGCTCTGCATTTAATTGTATTCGATGTACAGTGGTACCTCTGGTTACATATGCTTCAGGTTACATACGCTTCAGGTTACAGACTCCGCTAACCCAGAAATAGTACCTCGGGTTAAGAACTTTGCTTCAGGATGAGAACAGAAATCGGGCAGCGGCAGCAGCGGGAGGCCTCATTAGCTAAAGTGGTGCTTCAGGTTAAGAACAGTTTCAGGTTAAGAACGGACCTCTGGAACGAATTAAGTACGTAACCAGAGGTACCACTGTACGTTTTAAGCACATCACTTCTTGGGAACTGCAGTTTGCGGAACGGGAACTCCAGGAGAGGAAAATGACAGTTCCCAAGATTCATTGGTGGGGAAGCCATGTGCTTAAAAAAACCTGCATTGAATATGCTTCAAATGCAGAGTGTGGGTCTGCCCTACGACTCCCATCATCACCCCGAGTCTTGACTACGCTGCCTGGGGCCGATGGGGGTTGTAGTCCAACAACACCCAGAGGGCACCAGGTTGCAGAAGGCTGAGCTACAAGTTTGAACTTAATTTATAGACCAACAAGTGGATGTGTGGTGTTGCGGAGGGCCGGGGGGTTACCTAGGCAGGAGCTAGATCCCTGCCCCACTATCTAGAATTGCAAAGTTTAAGCAGAGAGAGCCCTATGGCTCTTTGGCACTGTCTCCTGGGGCCGACAGATCTGTGTCCTTTGCAGATGGCTGCCCTCAGAAGATCCATATTCCTCTTCCTCTACACGGTTCCCACTGCTGCTATTTATATGTATGCATGTAAATATATCCCCTTCATGGATCACTGCCTTGCCGTGGCGAAGGGGCTTGAATAACTCAGAGAAGCTATGAACTACGCCGAGAAGGGCACACAAGATGAACAGGTCATAGTGGAGAGTTTTGACCAAACGTGATCCACCTGGAGAAGGAACCGGCAAGCCACTCCAGTATCCTTGCCAAGAAAACTCCATGGACAAAGACAACAGGCATATAAAAGTTATGACGCTGGAAGATGAGCCCCTCAGGTCGGAAGGCGTCCAACATGCTACTGGGGAAGAGCGGAGGGCAAGTACAAGTAGATCCAGAGCTGATGAAGCGGCTGGGCTAAAGCCGAAAGGACGTTCAGTTGTGGATATGGCTGGAAGCAAAAGGAAAGTCCAATGCTGTAAAGAAAAATAGGAACCTGGAATGTAAGAACCATGAACCTTGGTAAGTTGGATGTGGTCAAAAATGAGATGGCAAGAATAAATATTGACATCCTGGGCATCAGTGAACTAAAATGGACGGGAATGGGCGAATTCAGTTCGGATGACCATCACATCTACTACTGTGGGCAAGAAACCCGTAAAAGAAATGGAGTGGCCCTCATAGTCAACAAAAGAGTGGTGAAAGCTGTACTGGGATGCAATCTCAAAAATGATAGAATGATCTCGATACGAATCCAAGGCAGACCTTTTAACATCACAGTAATCCAAGTTTATGCACCAACCACTGGTGCTGAAGAAACTGAAATTGACCAATTCTATGAAGACTTACAACACCTTATAGAAGTGACACCAAAGAAGGGTGTTCTTCTCATTATAGGGGATTGGAATGCTAAAGTAGGGAGTCAAGAGATAAAAGGAACAACTGGCAAGTTTGGCCTTGGAGATCAAAACGAAGCAGGGCAAAGGCTAATAGAGTTCTGTCAAGAGAACAAGCTGGTCATCACAAACACGCTTTTCCAACAACACAAGAGACGACTCTACACATGGACATCACCAGATGGGCAGCATCGAAATCAGATTGATTATATTCTCTGCAGCCAAAGATGGAGAAGCTCTATACAGTCAGCAAAAACAAGACCTGGAGCTGACTGTGGCTCAGATCATCAGCTTCTTATAGCAAAATTCAAGCTTAAACTGAAGAAAGTAGGAAAAACCACTGGGCCGGTAAGATACAATCTAAGTCAAATCCCTTATGAATACAC